GGCGGCGTTGCTGGGCAGGCGGCGGCGGCGGTTGCGGCCGTGCGGGCTGTCGCGGAGCGCGGGCGGCGCGCGCCTCTGCGCGGGCTCGCAGGGCGGATAGAGCGGCGGGCCCGGGACGGGGCGGAGGTGGGGCGGGCGGGAGAGGCCGCCATGGGCTCGCAGGTGCTGCAGATCCTGCGCCAGGGCGTGTGGGCGGCGCTGAGCGGCGGCTGGTACCAGGACCCGCACCAGGGCGCGGGGGTCAACGCGCTGCACCTCTACCTGTGGCTCTTCCTGCTCGGCTTCCCCTTCACGCTGTACATGGTGAGCGCGGCCCGGCCGGGCCCGGGGAGGGAGGCGGCGGCGGCGGGGGGGCCTGGGCCCAGCGCGGAGGCCGCCGTGGGGAGAAGCGGGGGTGGCTCCCGCCGGGAAAGGCGGTTTCGCGTGGGAGCCGTGGCGGGAAGCGGCCCTCCCCGTGCCGCCTGGGAAGCTCCTCTCCGCAGCTCGTCGTGGGGACTTACTCGCCCGCGGGGCGCTGCGTGGATTGCCCGTGCCGCGTGATAAGCTACCGCGCGGCCTTGCCCGTAGCCGGGCTTTGGCGTGTTTGGCTTGGAAAAGCGCCTGCTGGATGCGTCCTTGTACCTGGGGTTTCGGTCGAGGCTTGTGGAATCCTGACCTCTAGATCTAGAAGTTTCTTGATATCTGGACCGGGAAACCAGTGCCTGGGAAGGGACCTCTCCTTGTGGGAGAAGGAAGTGGTTTCCTGCTGGTCTATGTTAGTTGTGTCTGACTTGGAGAGAGAAAAAAAAGGGGGGGGGGGGGGGGAGAGAAGAAATTTAAAAAAAAATAAAATAAAAAAGAAACAACCCACACTTGTGTTTTGGGGCATATCAGTATTGGAACAATGTGACTGCCCAAGGTGTGGTGTGATCAGCATTGAGCTCATGCAATGGAAAGCAATTTTCAAGCCTACTGGGCCCAGATGTTGTGACAAACTAAAGCAGAAGCTGGCTGTGGAAAAAAGGTGAATTAGAATGAGCCCTGGGATGGAAAAACCTGCACGAGAGCGGCTGTGGAGATCCTGTGCTCTTTGTTCGGGTGTTCTTGCTCTGCTTGAAAGGCAGTTTGTAAGGATAGAAGATGCAATATGAGACACTTCACGTGGAGAAAGGGCTAATGGGGAAGAGGAGGTTACAGCTCTGTACAGTTACGTCTTAGTTCAGGTTACTGTGTTCTTGGAAAAGGTAGCTCCAAGGCTTTGTTGTCTGAAAACTAGACCGTTGGCAGGAGAACTAAAGGCTGAGACAAACTGTTGTTAAAAGCAAAGTTAGCGTGACAGCAACTAGATTAAACATTCAGTTAAATATCTCTGTAAAAGCTGAAAATCACCATCTGCTTAGAACCCCACTAAATGTGGAGAGAGGATCCTTTTGGTTTTGAATCTACCTTTTTTTTTTTTTTTTTGTATGTATAGTGCTCTTATGTTTTGGGGAAAAATAGCTTATCCAACTAGTATTGTGGTGAGAAAGAGGATCGTAAAGGTGTGATGAGTTTGTGGCACGTGCAGGAGCCTTGGAATAGGGCCTGTTCTATAAGGGGTGTGAATCATTGATAGGTGATAGGTCCCAACTGGCACTTGAGCCAGTTGAAGCAGCAGTTAGGCCTCAGTTGCCCCTGCAGTGGGGTGAATTTCAGCATTGCTTAATTTTTTGTGTGTTTTCTATTATTTTTTCTTCTGTGCAAAGGGAACACTGGCAAAAGCAAGCTGCTTCAGGTTTTGTTGAGGTCAGAAATTCTCTTGCTTCATCGCTTTGGACAAGTTAAAGATGCAACAGCAAGTGCCAACTTCCCTGAGAATAAGTACAGAGATTAGTCACAAGTTAAAGGAGATTGAATCATATTTGGCTGTTGTCCCTCTTTCCACCCTCTGCAGTTGAAGTGTTGTCTAGACATAAACTAAACAGGCAGAACCATGATGGTCAGCTCAACCTTTTCACATCCTTTAGACTCTCTTCAGAATAGACAGCAGTTAAATGTTGTGTTGCTGTAGGTCATACATAAACAAGCACAACTTGCTAAAATCTTAGGTAACAGCAATCTGAATTCTGAGTATGTCCCACTGGTGTGGGAGGGAATTTTTAAGCTAGTTCAAATGACTTGCTGCTGGCAAACAACCCTGCATGTTTAAAAGAAGACTGTGTGTATATATAAAAAACGTAAAATGCTGTCAGGTTTAACATTGCCTTTACAACTTCCTTGCATAGGAATTCTGAGATCATGCGCTTGCTTTGCTGCATCAGTAACAACTGTAGTTTCTGTTAAGTTCTGTAGCGACAGAGGCAGTAGGCTTCTGTAAGCACTCTGCTTGTAGCTGTTTCTCAAGACTGAATGCATCTTGCAGGAGGGTAATCGCTATTCAAGTGTTATTTAATCTCAAACAGTAATGGAAAGTTTCACCTTCCCAGGATTCTGTAATTCAGATGCATCCGTTACTTAAGGACTTGGATTATTACATCAAATACAGCTATATACATGTTTTATTTTCTCTCTCTATGTGTTCACTATATTGATCCCGTAACTTCAGAACGGGATCTGGTAATGGTTATTGTCAGCGAGTCATAAATCCATATGCTGCTTTGTGCTCATATAGTACCCATGCTGTTACATCTGAAAGGTAGTGGATGCTTTTTGGGGTTTAATGTGTTTCTTCAATTGGTTTGCACCACCAGCAGGAAATTCAGCCAGCTCTTCCTTGGCCCCTGATCTGGCTTTGGAGCTTGGGCATGTGAAAGTCTTGAGTCTGTATCTGTAGTGAGGGAGAAGGGAAAAAGATGCATACGTATAGGTATCTGTTATAGATAGCTGTGTAATGCATATTTATATGCTTGACTGTCCTTGGCAGAAACATGGCAAAGAAAGTCCAGGTAGTAAAGGATTTAGGTTGTAGAGAAGAATCTGGATTAGTGAAGCTGCTTAAATGTTTACTGTTAGATCTGTGGCTTGGCAGCACGTGTGTAAAAGTACTGCTTGCTGGCTAGTTTAATCTATCCTCTTGTAAAACTTTTATTAAATAATAAGCTCAATTGTGCCAGTTGCTCTGCATATTGGTCATAAGAGTTGATTATTGCTTTAGTCTAATCCAAAACTGAAGATGGGAGAGAAAGAATGTGTTACACTATGGAGAAGTTTTTATACAAGGCAGTTGTAAAAGTTGGTGATGGAGTTCAGTAAAGCTAAGGCATCCCACATCCAGAGGCCACTGTCTCCCCCTCGCTACAGGAGGGGAGGGAGGAGCAGAGAATGTGCCAGGGCACTGTCCCAGTCGGAATGCTGCTCCAGCTCCCCACGTGCCTGGAAGAGGGTGAAGTCTTGGCTCCAGAGCCAAGGGGAATTTTGCCAGTGACTGAAGAGGAGCCAGAACTGGAGCTTGCTCTGGGTGATGGGCTTGTACCTACAGAACTTGTCTGTCAAAGTTGAACTTGTTTAGATAACAGTTGGTTTAACAGGCATTTGATTTCTTGACTTTGTGTGTAGTGGTAGAACTAGGTCATATAAATGTAGACTTCCTAGGAAAGTCTTCTCTAGCCAAGTTTCTGATAAAAGCACTATTTCTTGAACTATCAGTTTAAGTACTTGGAGATAAATCAAGAGGTTAAGTACTTGGACGTGGATGTATGGCAAGAGTCCCTGATAGCTCTGTTAGCTCTAAGTCCCATCTATTTTCTTGATTATTAGAAGATTGTGTGTGAAGCCTCAGTCAGAAACCTAGGGAACTTGCAGCTGAATATGCTTGCTAACACTAGTATTTTTTTTAGGGCTGCATGTGTTCATAAACAGAAAATGGTGACAAAATGAAATCTATTGCTTGATAGCCATCTTTCTTCCTCCAATATGAATATGTCTGAAATACTGGCCTCAGAATGCTTGAACCTCACAGAGTTTTGGAAGGCAGCCTCTATTGCTCAATGAATATTCAGCTGATATCACTTGGGGGTGGGAGGCTTCCTGTGAATATTCTTTGTAGGAAACATCTTTATTTTGAAAAGAGTCAGGAAATTCTTCATTGTATTTGCAGTGTCTAGCTAAAGCATGATGTGGTTAGCTAAGATCAACTTCATGTCTCCCTTAATTCTTTTAAAGTATGCAGCACAACCTGTGATCAAGTGGAAGAGGATCAGGAACTAGAGGGAATTCTATCTGAAACATTAAATCAAGATGTAGGGAGACCTTTAGTTTAAATGGGTGTGTTGGAAAGCTATGTAACCGTTGGCCTCAAGTTCAGGGAGGAAAGATAAAGAGAAGTTAACCCGCTTTGGAAAAGCTTACCTTGATATCAAGGCTCAGTATGTATAGTATGGATTTCATAAGTTATCCTGAGCATTTTAAATTGTGGAAGTAAATCTTGAAGAGAAGATTTTAGAAAGTCCCAGTTATCGTGTGTATGAGATTCTCCCCACCCTTCCATCCTTAGTCTTTAGAGATGCTGCTTAATGTCCCTTAAAATACGGATAAAAGCTCTTAGCTAGAACTTCATGCAGTTGCATTTGTTCAGCCATTAGATTACTGAAGCTATCAGGAGAAGTTTCTCAATAGGACAGGTTTAGAGCAAGGAGTGTATGCCTGGGCAAATGTAGTTTGCTATCTTTTTTTCCTCCATTACAACAGCTTCAGTTGTGAGCAATCCTGTTCTGTCCAGGTTTTCTTTTAGTGCTAACTGAAGTGGCTGCACAGCTGTGCACCACAACTGGATGTTCTCTGAAATGAGGTTGCAGCTGTGGGCTTGTGGCCACTTAGCATCTGCTAACAAGCTCTAGCCTGAGCTTTTAGTCTGGGCATGATAAAAAGGCTGCTTTATCACTTGTGTGTGAGGCGGGGGAATTGTAATGAGGTCAGCAAATAGGTAGGACTTGCAGGTATTCCTATTTACCTAAAAATATATATTGTGTAGAATTCTTAGTTATGCTGTCAAGGCTTGTTTCTTGGGAGTACAGTGATATGTCAAGCATGGTTTTAATTTTCATTTAACCTGGAGTGTAGGAAAGAGATTCCCAGATGGAAGGTAAATGAATCCAGGTATTGCAAAGAAAAATAGGTCAAGCACTTGTGACTTAAGTTAGGGTTGAAGAAACTCTTCATGGGGCTGTGATGCAGATTAGCTGTGGGTAGCCTGGGTAGTACATGGGTAGCTGTGCCATGGGATGAGATTGTGTGGGAAGTGTGATCAGATAGTAGACTGTGCTGGGTGTATTCAAGTTTTCTCTTTATTCTATGGAATGCATGCTATCAAGAGAGGAATAATTACTAATAAATAAAAGAAATCAAAATACTGAGTTTGGTTTTTCCATTACTCTTAGCTGTCTGCAGTCCTGTGCAAAGGGAATATGAGTAAAATCACTCTAATTCCTTACTGTGCTTACTGTGCGTTGTGTTAGTTTCTGTCTCCTTTCCTGCAACTCTCCTTTGTGGACCGCGATGCAGAATGTGACATTGAGCACTGGATACATGGGGTGATGGGATTGCTGACAGCACTGGGGGGGATACTGAAGAGCCCTCCCTCTGGGAAGGCACAGGCACATCTATCACTGATGCCAAAATGCTAGTCTGATCTTAAGGTGTCATCACTCCTCTGGTAGTGGCTTCTGAACCTGAGGTCCTTAGAGAGCAGAAGCCACCTGAAGCAGTGTGTGCAATAGGGCAGCAGCCTGCTTGGCTCTTGCAGGAGGCTGGTATATTTTTGCTGAAGTTAATGGGTTGTTGTGTGCCTGGGGGAAGCTGACTGCTTCTGAGGCTCTCCAGGTGTAGCATTTCTTGAGGAAAGCCTTGGAGCATTGCTTCAGGGCATGAGTATCACCACTGTGGTTTCTGGCTGATTACTGATGCAGTTTTTAGATAGCTTTGTTTCCTCTTTCTCTTCCTGGGGTGGTTCTTGGTAACTGAATCTTTCTGACAGGGAAAGTTAGGGTTTTGTCCAGCACTGAATGAATGATGACAGACAAAATCTAAATAGTCATGGGCCAGCTTAGTTTGCCCATCCTCCTTCAGATGTCAGTAGGTGTTTGCTTACTAGTAGGAGGTGTTCACTTAGTGGGAGGAAACAAAGTTGGCTAATCTTAATTTCTTCAAGAACTATGATAAGCTTCCTCTGATCAATGTCAAACCATGCTACTTATGTATTAGTCTGTAAAATTATTATATTGGAGGTTTTGTTTGTGCTTTTGTGGGCTTCCTGACAGAAAGTGGATGGCAAGTTTAGGAATTGGCTTTTGTTCTGAAGTCAGCAGTTGATAGGATATTTAGAAGTGTTGGTGGGGTGTGTGTGTGTGTTTGGTTGTGCTAATGAAGGGAAAGCAACATCAAGACAATATTTGGTATTTGGAGATCTGTACAAAGTTTTTTTTGTTAAATTTGTGGCCTAAATTACATGATGAGCACTGCCTGTTCTTTCAGGACTAATAAGCTCTTGAATATGTAGAAATCCTAATGTTTTAATCAGATCTCTGTAAATGACTGAAATTAGCTCTGTGTGCAAAATAGAGAGGACTTTGTGTCTTGTTCTCTGATCACACTTCTGTTCTCGTTCTGCAAAGTGCTTGGGGCTGTAATCATAAATTACTTCTCCGTGGCCAGTATGTATATGGAGGATGCCTAGGTGTATCAACAAGCTGGAGTTAGCGTTAGAATAGGAAGTCTAAAGACAGTTCATTTATTCTCCTCATAAACTAATGCTCTGTTTGTGCTGGATAAAATGCTGTTGTGTGTTGACTGTATTATATTTCTCTGGAGAGGATTTAAGGATTTGATATACAGCTGCACCATTAGCAGTTAAAGGAAAATGAAGCAGCAAGCTCGAGTACATGACTTGTTGATTTGTAAGGTATTTATGGATGAAGAGACTAATGTATCATGTTGTTTGGTGACTGATGGGGGAAACAGTTGCAAAAGGTAATGAAAGGTGAATTAGATGGGCAAAAGTCTTGAAATGAAAGAACTTGAGTTTGTGTAGTGCTCCAAAACTTCTTTAAATGACTAGTCGGCCACACTTGTTCAATACTTGTTGCTGTATTGACTATTCTGCAAAAACTTTTGGACCTCAGCAAAAACCAGGGGAGAAGTCTTAATTTTGAGTGGAATTTCAAAAATTTAATCCTGGTCTGAGGTTTTTCATGTGGCTTTTGACCGTCTTTGACACAGCTGAAATTCTTTTCAGAACATCTGGGTTGGCTGCCTGTCCATGGGCATGCTATGGTTGAATACAAATAATCCTTGTAGTGTGTGGTTTTGTGGATTCATGTGGGTCACTGCTCAAAGCTGCAAGCCACAGTATGTCAACAGACTTTTTTTTTTTTTTTTTTTTTTAAATGCAAGTAAGGAAGTATTAAACTTTGGTAACTGCTTAGAACCTTTTTGTGCAAGAGAAGCTGTTGCGAGCTGACAAGTGAAGTCAAAACTTCCAGGTTGAATTGAGCAGGACTTCTTTCCCAACCATGCTTTCTAGTTTGTATTGTGATCCCTGAAGGGGGTCATTGCGGTACACTGGCCCTAAAATAAATTTTCACCCTGTGTTTAGTTTTAATTTAAGGTGCTTAAGATCTCTTGATATTCCCAGTTTATAAGACTTTAAACGTTGTCTATTATGCCCCCCCCCCCCCCAAAAAAATCATGCTAGCTATAAAACTTTTAGTGTAGGTGTTGCATATTGATAGACTGGATAAAGGAGAAATGGACTAAACATGGTTCTTGAGTTGCTTTGATAGCTCTACTTAGCATGCTGCTCTAGTGCTTTAGTTTCTTGTAGTCATACAGAAACCCTTTTTTTCTGTCTTGCTAACTTTGTTAACAGTCTCCCTGCAAAATTTGGCTGAGTGTTTTTTTGCTGCGCACGCTTGTGTCTGTGTGTTAGCTTAATTATTGGTGTGATCAACTTTGTGTAAAACTGTTAAAATTTCAATAACTTTATGTATTCTCATTGACTTTTGACACTGTATTTGTTAACTTTTTTTTCTTGTTTCCTTTTAAAAGGCCCTTCCTTCTTCCATGATGATAGTAGCTGTCTACTGCCCAGTGATAGCAGCTCTCTTTATCGTTCTGAAGATGGTGAATTACCGGCTGCACAGGGCACTGGATGAGGGAGAAATTGTGGAAAGGAATGCCCATGAGCATTTGGACAGAGGTGGAAAACAAGAACAAGGCAGTATTTCAGCCAAGAGGAAAGACAGCAATGGGCCCAGGTAAGGTGCTTGCCAGTACTTGTACTTTGCTTCAAATGATAAGCAACAGCATTTTCATCAAGTGTTACTGCAGTGGTGGCTGACACAAACACAAAGAATACAGCTGCAGACCTTAGTGGTTCTGGAAGATCAGACTTCAGTCGTCTTTTTACCCACTAGATTGAGGTCCTGAACTTAGGTTAATTCCCCAGTTCTTCACCAACAGAGATTCTAGAATAATAGTGGAACTGTTAGAAGCAGTGAATCAGCATCGAAAATGTGTGCTCCTTAGGTCTCCAAATACTTAAGATCACTTATACTGGTTGCATACATTAACTCATCAGTAGGCTTGATTTAAAAACTTTTCCTGCAGAGACTGCTTACTCTGCCTGGACTCATGCATTGCTGAGCTTGACCTGGACTCAGTTTGCTTTGTTTTGCAGAAGCAGGAGTTGGTTGTTACGCTGAACTGCAGTTGTGGACTTACCCTAGGAGAACACTAACCTATGAATTTGGCAATCTTGGGATTGCTTAATTGTAATGAGATTGATATTTGCAGATCATAATTAGGATTCCTTTCCAGGACCTCTTCGGTCATCACCAGCTTCCAAACTACATGCACTTCCTTTCCTTGTCCGGACTGTTTTGTCAAAGAAGACTGTTTTGCTAAACATCTCTCATCAGAAAGGCCATCCTAACCAGCCTGATCAGACTGTGCAAGTGTTAGAAGCTCTGTTATCAGAACTTCTACCTGGCACCAGATAATTGGATCTTTGCTAAAAGTTAGATTGCATGCATAAGCTTGTTTTGGCAAATGCTTTTTGTCTGCTTTGTAGATTTCTGGTAATAGTACCCATGAATAGTTTCAAAAGCTGATAGACTATCTTGGCTTTTTAAATGTGGTTTAAAACAAAATCTCAAACTGTGAAACTTCCATATAGAGAGACTTGTATGCTATAGGGAAATATAGCTGAAAGAAGCCTCTTAAATCCGTTTATCAGGATGCTTAGAGAAAGGAAAACTTAATGCTCTTTAAAATGCTTAATGTAGAAGGGGGAAGAAAAGACTTCATTGTCTGAATGGAATAGCTTCTCTTGTGGTGGACCTAAGTTCTTCTGCATCTGTTTTCAGCTCATTCACTGTTTTTCCAGTGCAAACCATGTTTTACATACCTGAAAGCTGGGGCACAGGAACTCCCTGTATCTTTTTTTTTAATCTGACCCTTCTTTCCATGTTGTACCTAGTAACTGAACCTGTTGATGTTAACTGTGACTCTAGTTAAATCACCATATATCTTATTGACTGTATTGAATGTGTTTGGAATGTTTGCTTAAAATATAAATTGATGCTTTTTCTTTTTTCTCTTTTTTTAAATAAAAATCATGGAAGTGTACCAGAGGCCTGTTCTGTTTCAGTGCAGCCTTGTTGATATGTGTATTAGCTGTGCTCCTTAGATTTTTTTTTTAAAGCTTTCAAACAGTAGCTGAGACTTGACAAAAGGTGACCTTGTGTTAGTTTTGTAAATAATTACTTCTGAATATTTTTAGACATTTCGGGCATTCTGAAGAGCAGTTGACATGGGCCATTTGAACTTAGAGGTGGAGGTTAGTCTGGTGCTGTGTATCCTGCTTACGAAGAAGTTTCATTAACTTGTATATGATCCTTGTTCCCACTTTAGGGTTTCTTAACTAGGACTGGGAACAAGGTCAATGCAGAAATAACAGGGTTACTTTCTGTTAAGTGGGGGCCTACAGTATATATTAATCTCTGCCTGGAAGCCTACAGGAACTCCACTGTTGTAGTCAAACCAGCAGAGGGGATGTAGGGTGGGGTTTTAAAATTGAGCTGTCACTTGTAGTTATCCTGCAACAATATATACTTTTTAAAAAAAAAAAAAACTTTAAGGTAGGAAGGTTTTGTGTGTTGTTGGTGCTGACGTTTTTTGACTTGGTATAGCGTTGATATAGGGGGATCTAAGAGAACGTACATTCATTAGATATTTGCATAGTAAAAGTATCACTTAATAAGCTGAGTTTAATGAGTAGTAGTGTTGTGGGAGGATTAAGTGATGGATTTATATGGACTGCCAATTTTCTTCTGTTTCTGTCAGTTTTTGAATAAGCTCAAATTCTGTGTTTTTTCCCACAAAACTTCATTAGCAAAGAAGTCATCTTGCTCCTGCTTAGGAGATGCCCTGTTTATGCTCCATAACTTTGTGATTCCCTAGTTAATGTCTTTAAAAGAAACCAGTGCAGTTTAAGGATTTAGGATAAAGTGTAGTTCTTGCTTGTGTACCTTCTAGAACAGATGTTGATTTCATTCTTGCTTGGCAGGGTCATGTCTAAGATTTTGACGGAAATATAGATTAAGGAGTAAGATGCAGGATCCCCATCTCACAGAAAAGCCTAAATGTAGTTCTTGTCAAGTATCAGTTGTAGTTATTGTCAAGTATCAGTGGACCAACATAGTTACCTTAAGTATGCATTGATTTACACTACTATTCCTGCTCAATATCAAAACAGGGGCCCTGTGTTTGTTTTAGTACTTCACGTGCACTTGGTTACAGAGTGAATTTTACACCTGCAGAATGCAGTTCATCTAAGAACCAGTGCAGGGACTACACTATTTGCCTTAATTCTTGGTATGCCTTCCTCTTATAGTTCTGCCTGATTAGCAGCCTAGTTGCTAAGCTTGGAGTGGAAAAGGGGAAAAATGGGGGGAAAAAATGTTTTGACTCTAGCCTTCAGTGTAGGCAGATGAAGTCTTACATATTTAATGGACAGGTTCATGTTCTAAGTGCAGATTCTCCTCACTTCTGTCTTTCAGTGATCCTGGTGGAGGGATTGAGATGTCAGAGTTCATACGAGAAGCGACTCCCCCGGTTGGCTGTAGTTCACGCAATTCCTATGCTGGGGTAGATCCAAACAACCAGGTAAGAATTCAAGCTGTTGCAGCTGTTGCTTTAGCAACCTGGGGGTCATCTTTGAAATTAAAATGAGAAAAATGCCTCTTATTGTGCAATATTTCCTGATTGTATTGGGCCTAGCAACTTTCTCCACTGCTTTGTTACTGTGAAAGTGCCTTTTTCCGGTGGTTTGTTTCTAGCTGCTCCCACTTAGCATTCCTTCTAGTTGCTCGTGGATCAGCATACTATCCCATCAGAGAGACTCCCTGCTGGGTTAGATTCTGATTTAGTAAATCATAATGACTTATGGTGTAAGAAGGCAGGAACCATCGACCACTGGCTGAGGTTTGCTCCTTCTTTTGGTATCAGTTAGCCATTAGATAGTTCAAACCATAATATATGAGGTCATCCTTGAGTTCTAGCCTCTTACTCTTACTCTCTCCCCATTAGTTTTAATCTTGGTCGGTTAGGTGTGTAAGAGGTAAAATGCAACTGCATGAGTTTTGAGGAAGTTTCACTTTAATCTCATCTTAGAATGTATCCACTGCTTGCCATGCAGCATGGCTTTCTAAAAATTATGTTTCTGACAGTTCAGACTGACATCTGAAATATTGATTTGAGAATGTCCAGCACCATTTAAATTGCTGGAAATGAAAAGACTAAAATCTTTTGATTACATGTGTAAGCTCTTCCTTCAGACACTCCAACAAGGGTCTGTTCCCCCCCAGAACAAGGCAGTAGAAGGGGACTGCAGTACAGCAGATGGAAGGGCTGAAGAGCTTGGCTTTCTCTTGAATTTAATGCAGTTTCATTATGCTCTAGTTGCTTTGTGATTTCACTGGGGAAGTTGTTCCATTCCTTTCTATATTCACAAGATGAATGCATTGGACTCTGACATGCATATGCTGTCCCATTTATTTTGGCTATGATGCTTAGCCAGTCATGGCATTTTTTTTCCAAGCTCTTCATGGGGAGGAGTAGATTAGCTGGCCAACCTAAGGTTATTCTGCCAGTGAGCAATGCAGTAGCAGGCTGAAGATAAAGAAGCTATTTTTGCATGCAGTGGAAATTCTCAGTGCGATATTCCGTTAAGTCTCTGGGCAATATATAGGATAGCATAATGTTAGGCTGATGCTGGTGTTCTGGAAAAGATGACTGATGCTGACTGACTGTACAATGCTGTTACGCAGCATAGATATGCTCTAAGAGACTCTTCTGAAGAGAGCAGGTATTTTGTAGTGTTCACGGGACACTATGCAAGAAATAGAAAGTGATAGTCCCTATAGGAAGAGCGGACCCAGGTGGGGGTTGTGGGTCTCTGCTCTTTGGAGCGGGATCTTCTTGATGCTAGTAACGGTTCTGATGGTCAAGCCTGGGAAGAAGCTTGGTATCCCTTCCTATGTGCTTTAATGGTAATGTTATAGCGGAACTAAAACCAGTGTTACAGGAAGGAGGGCTGTGTTGAGAACATGTCTGTGCTGATAAAAATTAATGCTTGCTACCTCCTGTTATGGAATTTTCCATATCAAAAGAGTACTTGAACAGTAAATACCCAAGTTCCGCTTTTTTTCCTCCCTTTTCCTCCAATGCTGTACATTTGCACTCAGCTGCAGGATCTAAAGGCAAAGGAAAGGAGGGGGGATAAATGAAATACAGCCGAATAGCTAACTAAAAACATTCATGATGTAGTAGTGAAAACATGCATTTTTTATGTTTAGCATCTGCTTTTCTGCATTACATGTCAAACAGCTGATGTTCTATAGTGGCCAAGTAAAATTTGCATTTTGTTTGCTATGCTTGAATTAGTAGAATTGTCCATTGGATGTTATTAAAAAGAAGATGCAATAAATTCAAAACAAGATTTTGAGTAAAAGAATAGATCAGGAATGCTGCGTAGTCTTTCACTAATCAGTTTGCTTGCTTGGAGGGAACTGAAGTTTGTGTACTTGGGAATGGCTTTCAAATGAAAAACTGTGTTTGAAAATGAGAGTAATAATAGCATAATGATCAATTTAACCTAATCTAAGTTTATTCAGTTACCAGCAGGGATCATCCTGCTGTCTCCCATGTTCAACTTCCCGTGCTTTCCATGCACTCGTGCTTGAGTTCTTCATTTACCTGGTTACCTCCTTGACAGACCTGAAAACTAACCTCGCCTAAAACATGCAAATGAAGCAGTTTCTGGAGATTTAGCTCAATACTATGTTCAACAAATAAGTGCTTTATTAACTTGTTTTCTTTAAGCATTTTAGGCAACTGTATACACTGTAATAAGCATTCAGCTCCTATAGTAGTCCATCCCCATAATATTTTAAATGAAAGTTCAAATTAGAAATTGCATGTTTAAAGTCCTTGTGTTTCAGTCACTGGCTATAACCAACCTGAAGCAGTGCTGTGGTTGGATGCATAGGTTAGATGTCATCATTATGTTTGCAGTAGAAATGTTCTGAGGCAGAAAAGACTTCACAGCGGTTGTCAGTTTTTGTATTTTTTTGAAAATCTCTGCTATATCTTGAACTACATGTGTTCTTATAATGAGAAACAACAGCTGTGTCATTTCTGAAAACTTGCAGCTTTTTAAATGCAATCTTGTTTCTAGGTTGGATCTGGGTTATCTCGTCTGGGAACGGCAGCGACCATCAGAGGTGAGATTTTTAGCTACCATTTACTCTTACAGTAGCATTTCATATCAGCAGATAGTGTCTATCTTGTTTAGCCTCAGAACTTTGAGGCAAGTGCTGCCTTTTCCTAACAATAAAGGAAGAAGTCTTCCTTGGTGTTGTGTTGAATGGCTGCTTTTTTTTTTTTAATCTTATTCAGAGTTCCACGCAACCAGTGACCCTTCCATTGTTTTGATATTGCTGGTTATTCAGCATCTAGCAAAGTTGTTCAGAACAGTGATTGCAAACATCTCTGAAAATGACTTATTTGTAATAGGGAAATTTTCTACCCTGTCGACCAAAGCTGATAAAATGATTATTAACAGGAAGTGAGGTTTGAATTTTTGTCACCTTCCTGATTTTTTTTGAACTTTTTTGTCTTCAGAAGTGCTTAGATAATCTCTTCTTTGTCTTTATTGTCACCTGTGTGAAAAGGAATATTCAGATATATTTATCTCTCAAAATAGTGTTACTTCCATTGGGTTCTGTTTCATATACTTTTCTATTTCTTCATGGGGGATCTGTGTAATTGAACAAAAATTGGCTTGTATTCAGAGTGAAACAAGTGGTGTAGACATTCTTCACAAGATTAGAAATATCTTGTGTTACTTAACTACTGTAGTTCAACTCCAAATAAAGGCAAGAGCTTTTGTTGAGTGAGAAATGTACACTTTCCGTACGTACATGACTGGGTAATTTGATCAATAATACTCTTGTTCTTACATTTACAGGAGATACAGACACTGCAAAGACTTCTGATGATATCAGTTTAAGTCTTGGCCAGAGTTCTAGCCTATGTAAAGAGGGGAGTGAAGAACAAGGTAAAATTTCTTCTTGCTGAATATTAAACATGGTATTTTATTACCAACATCTTAAAGATGCTAAAGAAATCTATACAGTTTCTTGATAGAATCTAGAAAGGGTGTCCTGAAGGACTCTCTTTTTCCTAATTACTGCTAGGTTCCTAAGATGCATGACTTAAATCCTTTTAGCTTGACTCTTTGCCTGTGTGTTTCATGTTCTAGCACTTTACAGTAAATACTTGTTACCTGCTATATACCTGCCCCCTTGCTCCTGAGAGAGGCATATGCTTGTATGTCGCCAGACTAGAGTTTTCTGATCATAGAAGTTGCTTGGAATTTGTGGAATTTTTGTGATGGCTAATGTGCTTCTCTTTCCTGTGCAGCCAAAAGGGTGTTTTTCACATCAGGCCTGCTTTTCCTGTAAATAAGCTTGCACAATGTTCTGGTTTTAGACGTAGACTCCATGTAGCTAGACTAAGTAGAGTTTTTTAATATAGAGAGTTTTGTGGTTGTGTTTCCTAATATGGAAGGAAGCTTGAGTTCTCTGCTTCTACATTTCTGCAAATTTTTTCAAGTTTAGTGGTTTGTTTTTTCCAGTTTACGTTTAGCTTTGTCCTAAGAAAACTCTGCCTCAACTAAAATGGAGCTTAAAGCTGTAGAGAAGTCCTTTGTTTGCTGATTCAAAACACCTTGTGGCAATTAACAGGAGGCTAACTCTGGGAATTCTAAGTGTAGCTGTATCTCTTTTTAATCCATTTCAGCAGACAAATTCCTTAAGTCTGTTTGGGGTTATGATTGCATGATTTAGTAAGAAATTCTGTTTAAGGTTCATTGTAATGGTGGTAATGCTATGATAATGAGCAGCAAGATTTTGCTTTCAGCTAAGTAAGGGAATTATTGGCCAGGTCTCTTAAATTACACATATGCTAATCACTGTGTTCAAACTTTAGCAATTATAATAATTCAGTTTGGTCTCCAGATCTTCTATTTTTGGTGACAGTCCCCAAAAGGAGAATAATCTCAATAATTACTCTGCATAATAATGTCTGCATGTCACACTATTAAAAGGAAACTCTTAACTGTCAGTAATAATAAAGATTGTGTGCAAGACCCAACAGGAAATTCTAGTGATTTATGTCAGTGGCACGAGTTTTAGAAGTTAGAGGATCAGTTTTACTAGGGTGTTAAGTGCTTGTTTTTGCAAAGCTGAAATTGGGAGCTGTTCAGAAGACTCTCAGTAATTTTGCAGTCAGTTTATTGCAGCCCTGATCAACCTGTTCAAGTGTCTGAAGGTGCTTGCTGACTGTGAGCTCTGACTGCCCTTTAGTAGACAAGGGGGTTATTATATGTTGTGGGGGGCAATACATTACCTTTTCCTCTAATCCTTTGCAAGTTTATGCAAGAGACATGATAAAAGATAGGGTTAGACCTCTTTGCATATCAACTTTGGAATACGTAATGTTGTCTGCAACATGAACAAGAAAGAAGGTTGGGGTTTTGTCAGAATCTGTGTCATCTTTTATTAACTGCTAGGTTAAATATGTTCCTAACAGCTTATTTAAGGAAAAAAAAAGTCACTCAGCTTTGTTCAAATGCTAGAAAGTGTGTTTTTTATGGTAATTAATGCATAGTACTTCTCCATGGATTTAACTGCTTTTTTACTTTCGGATATAATCAAGTAGTTGTAAAAGTAATTGCAGAACTTTAATATTCTCAATTGTATCCTGAAACAGATTTGGCAACTGATCGGAAGCTTTTTCGTCTGGTGTCCAATGACTCATTTGTCTCCATCCAACCCTCGCTCTCCTCTGGACAGGATTTGCCAAGAGACAGCAGTGACAAAGTGTGCCTCTCGAACAACCAGCTTGTGGACCAGTCCAAGTCTAGTGCATGTGACACCGAAGTCGCTTCGCTTATAACTTTGCATTCTCACTCCTATAGAAAGGATCACAGACCACGAGGTGTACCAAGGACTTCTAGCTCTGCTGTTGCTTTCCCAGATGCTTCGCTAAATGACTTCCCTCTCTATCAGCAAAGACGAGGACTAGATCCTGTCAGTGAGTTAGAAGCTTCTAAGCCCCCTGTGGGATCCAAAGAGTCCTTGGCTGACAGCTCTTGCATTTCAGGAGTCTTTCAACTGGATGACATTCTGAAAAGCAGCAGCCCCCAGCCATTAGCCAAGGGTGGGAAAAGCAGATCCTTGAAAGCAGACAAAAGTGTGGACAGTCTGAGAAGCTTGAGCACCAGAAGTAGTGGCTCAACAGAAAGCTATTGCAGTGGGACTGATCGTGACACTAACAGTACTATCAGTAGCTATAAGAGCGAACATACAAGCTCAACGCATATAGAAAGTGTGCTGTCAGAGCACGAGGAGGAGTCTCCTAGGGAAGAAAAGGACCGCAGGAACAAGGGCTGTGGTGTGGACTCGGAGGATGACAGTAGCTCCACTACTGACAAAAGGACTAGTAGTGAAAGGACTACTGTGGAAGCGAGCACCAACAGCGGGGCTCAAGGGGCAAGGGGTTCCAACTCCTCGGATGAAGTGCAGGGCCAGAAAGGTCTCAGTGCTTCTGCTGCCGAGGAGGCCAATAAGAACCCCCATGCCAATGAACTGACTACACAGGTTGACAGGCCACCTGGGAAAGCAGCTGAACAAAGAGATGAGCAGAGTGAGAAAACAGCTATGTTAGTAGATTCAAGAACTTCTAAAGAAACAGGTGGAAAACACAAAGAAGGAGACGTTCGACCAAAATCTTCTAGCTTAATTCATCGAACAGCCTCTGCACACAAATCCAGCCGGAGACGGACAGCAAAAAAGCGGGCTAGCAGTTTTGACTCAAGCCGGCACAGGGAATATGTTTCCTTCCGAGGCGTATCTGGTACTAAACCCCACAGTGCTGTGTTTTGTCACGATGAGGATTCCAGTGATCAAAGTGACTTGAGCAGGACGTCAAGCTTGCAGTCAGCTCACCAGTTCAGCAGTGATAGCTCTTCCAGCACCACCTCTCATTCATGCCAGTCACCTGAGGGGAAGTACAGTGCTCTAAAGACCAAATACATTGCTAAAGAGCGTGGGGGCACGGACGCTGAAAACATTCACAAAACCCACTTAAGCTCTGAAGGAATTAGCAAAAAAAGATCCACGCGACGGACTTCTAGCACAAACAGTGCCAAGAATCGTGCCAGAGTTTTAAGCCTGGACAGTGGTACTGTGGCTTGTTTAAATGACCCACATAGCTTAATGGCACCAGGTAACATAAAACAATTAACCACTTCAAAATCTGATTTGGAGGCCAAAGAGGGAGAGGTGCTAGATGAGCTATCTCTGTTGGGAAGGGCTTCACACTTAGAGTCAGTCACTCGCTCTAGGAATAGCTTACCAAGCCAGGCTACATTTCCTGAAGGAGAGGAACAAGAATCAGCAAGTGGAGGTAAGTAACTGAACTACCAGAAGTAACCTTGCCGTGTTTTGTTAATGAGTCTGATATGTGTGATTTAAGTTAGAAGGTAATGCAAGTAACCACGACTTCCAGTTTATGTTCTTGCCCAGTAAAGCGGGCAAAGTACTTCCTTCGTCTTGTCCTGCGAGATCTACAGAAATGGGAGTTGAGTTCAAAGAAATGTTATGAAATGTATAGGTGGTGGCATTGCGGACTTGTTATTGATAGCCTTGGCTAGCTACTGCTGTGTCTTACAAGTTGTGATCAAATTGGATGTGCTCCTCTCTATTGCTCAAAAATATCAAAGCAGATGTCCAACAAAAATAGTGTTGATTAAGACTATGCAGTTTAGAAAATGAAAATGCAGAATTGATTTTTTGTTTAGATTATTTTTCTACTATGGCTTGAGATGGTGCTGAACTCCTACCAAGCTTGCTTGAACTGTGCTTTTTCATGGTGGTCTAGCTACTAAACTACATTCTCTTCGATATTTGATTTTGCTTAGCCTTGTCATTGTTCAAGTTGGCTGTACAATGTTGTTTATGTTAGGATTTATGTGGGGTTTTTTTTGTCCTCATTATGAGAACATACCAGACTTCCTGTGCCAGGGAGAAGAACGCAGCTTCCTCTTACTTTCTAAAATAATGACTTTGCTTGGTATAATGTGAAGAATAAGCTAACTGGTCAACTGTTTGCTAATACTTGTTGCACCGCTTCACTTTCTGTTGTTAGTTAGCCAAACTGACCGCATTGTCTGCAAAGCACTTTTGTGTCCTGGAAGATCAGTGAGCTGAAAGGAAGTTTTCAGAGTAGCATGTGATTGCTAATCATTTTGGGCTGACTCCTGGGATTGTTTCTTGGAGACAATACCCACCTGCGAGGCTGGATCCTGCTGACTGGAGGGCACAAACAGTTTCTAACATTGCATCTCCTATGAAGAGATGGATATCTTGGGAAGAGACGGATATATTGGCAAATGTGTAACCAATTTACTGACCTTGCTGCAGTATTTAGATTGCTAAAACCCAATGTTGTGACTGTCATACTATCATAGAAGTAGAGTCCTCAAGACAGTGAGAAGTAACAATTCTTTTGTGACACTAGTTTAAGAGCAAGCTTTAAAAAATGATACCATTATTTTTTGGGAAAAGTAATTATAACATTGTGAAACTATTATCTGTTGATTACTGCTCAAGCCTGACTAGTTTATGACTAGTCCTCCTCAGATACCTCAACTATATTAAAAAGAACTCCCATATACAGACTGTTTTTCTCTCTCTTATTGCTAGTAACTGTCTTCTGCAGTAATTTTAATGAATCCAGGTTGCCCTTTCGGGACTGACTTAGCAAGCTGAACACTTGAAATGTAATTGTCTAGTTGTTAGTAGAATGATAGTTCTTTAGTATTATATCTACTGGGAGTAAATTTGATTAATAAAAGGGCTTCTTTATGTATTTAAAGGACTTTATATATGACTCTACACTTCATAGTATTAAGTTTAATTTCCTTTGGGCTTCTGTTATTACAGCTTTGAACTGTTGAGCATCTTTTCTGATAGGCAAAGGGAGGTTAATATACTTTGTTTTACTGAATATGACAAACTTGATTTGCTCTTCAGTTAATAGTCTGTGAAAAAATTCCTATCTATTACCAAATATTATGATGAGACAAAAAGCGTATGATGCAGGGAGGAATGGATTCACAGTTGCTTTAAAAACTAGTTTTAATGATGTATAGTCTGTGTCAGCTTACCAGGGAAGTCGTGCTGCTGTTCTCTTCAGTGTCCCCTCTAAACTCTCTACTGTAGATAAGTATCATTTTGAAGTTGGTAGTATGTTTTATACATAGAGAGCAATTGAATGGTTCTTCCCTATGGGCCTCAAACTGTACTTAAGAAGTCATCTGAGTTTAGGTTATCCAGACCTGAAGATACTGAATGATTGATGACACTTGCTGTATCTCATGTTTCCTATTGCTGGAGCTAGGGAAATATTTCATTTGTTAATGCAAGAAATGAATGTTATTCTGTATTGCTGGAATGAGAAGAAAGATACCAAATACTTTTAACCTGAATCATTGCTTGATATCTGTGTAGTCATGTCTAGCATCAAACCACTATTACTTGAATTTCTGTTCCTGTCTCTGAATAATTCCTTCCTCTTGTCCTTAAAAACAAACAAGCAAAAACAACCCAAAGACCAGTAGAAAACAAATTGAATTACATATGAATTTTCAAATGGCTGTACTTCAGTTGTTGCTTTCTTCTCCAATTTAAATGCAATTACTATTAATCAGAGAAAATCTTTTTGACCTTTTAGTCTGCTAAGTTGCTTTTAAAGCCAGCTTTCCCTTTGAGTCCTCTTCCTTTTGAATGTTTTTTAAAGCCTTGCCTATGCATGGCATAAATATCCATCATACAAATAATGTCTGTACATGTGTATGTAAAAGTTGAATTTCCTTTTTTCTCCTATTCATCTGCTATATGAAATGTGACAGAGGATACAGGCTGGATGGGAATCCTAGAGATTCTCGTCCAGTCTTCTGTTCAAAGGATTGTTTTATAGTTTTATCTGTCTATATATTTTTAATTTCTGTTTCACATGTGTTGGGTTTTTCAAATAATGAATTACTCACAGATGCCCACTGGATAATCTTAAAACTGATATCAGTATTCCTCCACCTTTTTAAAGCAGCAGCTATAGCTTCCTAATTTTCAAATATGGTTTAAAATAACAGCTGTCATTTTATACTTGAGTCTTTACTGAAGTAACTAAACAGTACTTCGTACTTGCTCACCTAACCATGAAACGTATTTAATGAGGGATATGAGCTCTAATCTTTTACTAAGCAGGAGTTCATACAAATTTGTTCATTATCTTGCATAAGCAGATACAACTAGCAGTTTCATTTCTGTTATTCCAGGAAGTGGTGAATGAGTTTTGTTTTCCTTTTAACAAGTTAAGGGTTTTCTTTGAGTAGAAATTGAGTTTCATTAAAGCGAAGACAGACAGTACTTGACAAGCAGCCCTTGAAAACATGGTAGGTAAATACAGTAAATGTGGTGGAGCTATAACAAATCAAAGGGAGAAAAAGCCTTGCCATAGTTAGTACTTAAATCAGCTAAGAGCTGTTAGTGAACTGGTGGTCCGTGGTCAGATTTCCAAAGATACTTGTATTCCCAAAAGGTGGAATAGGCCTCTGGTGTTACTTTGAAAATATCAATAGAATATTTTCCTGTGCCTGTTTTTTTCCCAAATGTGTTATTCATAGATCTCAATTTTGAAGGAATTAATTTAGTGCAGTATATGACAGTGTTTTGTAAAGCTAAAGCTAACTTGAACAGTTGAACATGCTCTCCTAATTCTGTGTCACTATAAAAGCTGCACAGTTTAACTTTTTGCACTCTTTTACAGTTTATCATTTCAGATTTAATAGACTCTTTAGGTATTTGAGTTGCACATTATTCTGGAAAATAAAAATGCCTGTAATACTATATTTCCTTTTTGCTTTGTGGGCCTCTGTACAGGTGAACAAAATATTCACATGAACCTGGTTTAGAATCTTGCCTGTTCTGTGACATACAGACACACGTTCATCTTTTTAGTCTGAGTCTGTTTGTGTGTATGTATCTGCATAGCCTATCTACATGTAATCATTGGAAAGTACTTTTCCCTAAAGCCACAATCAGAAATTAGGAATTCTCTGCTCTGCAGCAAGTTGCTCATGTCAGCTACTACCAATATATCACTCTTTATTTATTATGTAGATGTTACATAGCTTTAACCCATCACAGATGGTTGCGCATTCTGTCTGTGTTGTAGAGGTCTTATGTGCTTCTGGTGACTTGAAGTCCATGTGTTTATTTTTCTGTATGTAATTAATACATTTTCACAAGATGGGTTTTTGATGTGTTCTTTGATTATCCACTGCTTATCACTGAAACTACTGAATCAGTTTTGCATAGGTAGTTAAATTCTGAATTTAGAGAGGATAGAAATGATAAAACGTGCATGAAACCCTAATATCATCTAATTTTGTATATTCAACCTGTTGCTATTTTTATATGGTTACCAAGACCCTTTCCATAATGGTATTGGATTAAGTAGGTTAGCCAGCAGAAAGGACTGTTTTGCATTTAAGGTTATCTGAACCTAAAAACTGTATTTTACTCCTGTTCTATAAAGTCTTGATTTAAGATGCCAACCAGCAATGTGCCAGACCTGCGCAGTATTTGACTCAAGACTGAAATAGAAATTTGAATTTTGGCCTTTCCCGATATTGCTTGCTGTTTCTGATAGTGATTATAATATATAATGTAAGTGAAAAATTAAAGTAGAATTGAGCCTTGCTTATTCTACTATCTCTGGTATCGATTTGAAAATTTGTCTTATCAGATTTCAATCCAGCCTACAAAAATGTTTGGTTTAGTGTTCGGAACAGATGGCTTCATGGTCATGACCATTCCCCGCTTGAAAATGTTTCCTTAACAGATTGCTGTAGCACTAGCTCGATGTAACTGTACATGTTCCTCCAGTCTTTTCTTGAGCTTGTTTTTTTTTGTGCTTTAGCCACAACAGTGGAGTCCTAGGCTTTGCTGCATTTTTTTTCTCTTCTGTTTTTCTTCTCTGTGACTACCATTCCTTTCTGAACTGTGCACTGCTTTCCTCTGCCCTGTTTTCCAGCAAAAGCTGGTGTAGTAAGGAGATGTCCCTGCTTTTCAGTGTTTTCCTGTTTGCCACCCATGTCTCCATTTTTAGCTTTCTTTGGAAGTTGTTAATAGGTATATTTGTTAAATGTGCACAAGAAGTTATTGCTATAAGCCAATACTACTTTTTTATCATCAAGGAATAATGAGAAATCTCTACAGTTGCAGATCATACACTGATTTATATTTCATGGTGAAATAATAACTATGTATTGAGTACAATGACTGAACTGTATTTCTACTCAGAGTTTCTGCACCAGCATACATGGAACATCTCATGAGCTTTTTATAGTTTTAAGGCATATGAGAATCCATACAGGTGATAAGCTTACAAAAACCTGTGAGAATGGGGTTATTAACCAATAAATGCTTCTGTATAAGAAACCAAGTTTCATTAATTTGGACTGAGTGTGACTGTCAAATTGCACATCTCTGTTGCTGCTGAAGAAAGTAGGGGTTCCCTCAAATTTCCATCCCAGATAAGACCCTATATATATATAGATAGATAGATAGGTGCTTGATAATTGACCATGAAATTTTTTTTTGGTTTGGCAAAAATGTGTTCAGTGTTGGAAGACAGATTTCATAGCTCTTCTGAATACCTGAGCCATATGCCATTTGTTGCAGATCTTGCTGAAAATTTGTAGAACTGGTTATTAAAAGTAGTTGAGAAAAGTTCCTGTTAGTAAAATAGAATATCCAAAGGTCATTCATACAGATTTTCCTGCAGAGGTTTGGCTATATTTCATCTGAATAATGTTTAAATGACCTAGACTTCAAGTAATGTGACTTTTCTTTCACAAGAAGAGTGTGTGTTATGGGAAGGTGGTATTGTGCTGTGATTGTGTTCTTGTAAAAGTCACCAATCTTTTGTCTTTGCATTTCTGGGTTTTTACGCTAATAGAGCATATGTCTTGCCCTCATACCATATCTTCCCAGGAATCTTCTAAACTTTGAAGAACTTCTCCATATTTTAGAATCTATCAGAGGTGCTGTGTTTGGTATGTTTGGCCTACCAGAAATTGGTGGCATGAAAAATTTCAGTTTTCCAGTTTGTGTTGAAAACAGTGATGCGTAAGTGCGGTGATGGCACTGTCTATTTTGGCTGTTAAGGAGTGTGACTGTGTATCCATGAAAGAAAATATTTGCGTTCTGTATTTCTTAAAGCTAGTTGTGGTAGATATTGCAGTGTATGACTTGATAAGTCTTCAGGTCTTTCCCAAACATTGAGGAACTGTAGAGGTTTTCATCAATAACACTTGCATATGTGCTAAAAAGCTTGAAGAAGGTATAGCCCAGAGGCAGGAAGTTCAGTCAGTGCTCAAGCATTTCCAGCTGTCTGGTACAAGAATGTGAATCACAGTTAATGTAGAACTCTCTGGAGTGAATTTTAGTTATTGGGAAAATATCAGCACAAGTGCATGGTGACAGAAAGGTATCCTCATGATCATCTTTGGAGTGCTTCTGACTTTTGACCTTCTTCCAAGCAGAATACTTTTTTAAAATTTCACTGTATTTCATGTAATCCATATCTGTATGCATAGTTGCATTAGCCAGTCCAAAATTGGAAGCAGTGTTTTTCTTTTGATATGCCGGCTTTAGTTTTCACTTGGGATATGTTACTTAAATTGACACTTAATTTCACAGGTGTGATAAACTTTCCCAAGTACTGGTTTAAATTGGTGGCTGTTCACACTCCAAGCCCTAGCAACTAGTATGGAAGTTTCAGGTACCACTTATTGAGCTTCATCTGTGGATAAAACCTGAGTATGGACACATTTATGGACCCTCTTTTAATGGGGGGTCAGAATTAAAGCCAAGCAATGGAACAGTTTCCAGAGGAAGCAGGAATAAAAACATGGCTATTTTAAAGGGGAAGAAGTAGTAGAGAGTTAAATGGAGTAAGTCTACACTACATTTTGTTGCTTTCTCTTCTTTCTTTCTTCACAGGGGCTTGGGGAGGGAGAGGAGAGCCTTTCCCCTAAGCACAGTGGCAGTTTCATAGCTGAAATTCTGGAGGAGAGAGTTCCCGAGCAATTTCACAGGATGATATCCTATTACAAGCCTCTTTCTTCCTTCTGGTAGTTGGAAATGGGTGTTTACGAGGGATGAGTTTGTCAGAGTTGTCATTAGGCCCCTCCCTTTGATCTCTGGCTCTGTATTTTTAGTTTGTGGTTTGAACTTCAAATCCTGATCTGTTCAGGAACCGAAAAATAACACGTGGGTCTCAAATATGTATGAAAATTAAAGTGCAGAAGTAATTCCTACTGAAATTTCTTAGCACGAATGAAGTGTAGTGCTTAAGTGCAAACTGGAATAAAACAGAAGAACACAAAGAAAAATGACATTACTTTGTGGAAATCTTACCATACTTCCCTGATTTATTTTAAAAAGTAAGCAGAAATGGTCAAGGTAGAATTTATGTTGTTTATCTGTATTAGATCCAAATTTGTATCTGAGCACAAATGTTGGATCTTCCCTTTCTAGAATCTAAAAGGTCTTTCAGACAAACCATAATCCTTGTTGCTCGCTTGGCTTTTTTGACTCTCTCCATCGTGTTTCAGCATGTAACTTCTTGAAGTGCTGCACGTGCTCTGCAGTGACGTGGAGCTGTTGGGGCTGAAAAGTTCTGCAGCCCTTTCAGAAGAACTCACGGACTGACTTAGTGGCCCTGAATGTCATCAGCTGCGTTCAGGAGGAAAGTGTGTGGAAGATAAGGATTGAATGTGCTTAAGTTTTAAATCACAAACAAATATTCTAGCCCACAGATGATGTGGAGAGTAGATAGATAAAACAGTTACCCTCTGTAGCTTGTATTCAGTGCCCAAGTACATAGTAATTTTGATGTGAAAGTTTTTTGAAAAAATCCTCAGGTGTTTCAGTCTTACTGTCTCCTCAGGGCAGTGTCAGACAGTCCTTGAGGCAGACTTGTTTTAGTCATGTCTGCACTGTGTGGGAAGGTCCTCCAGTATTTCTGGAAGCTGGACTTTACTTCTTGCATGCTTAGTGAATAAAGGAGATAGCAAGATCAAACCAGATGTGTTCCCTGTTAAGTATCTTACCTTGAAGCTTTGCTATTGAAGACCACCCTTGCTAAGTGGTTGCTCTCCAGTAGTAATTAAGATGCTTCCGTTTTAGTGAGGCTCAGTCACTTTGTTCTTTATTTTGTGGTGCTTAACTATTGCCTGGCTGCATGGAATTCCCTCTGCATCTCAAGTCAGTGGTACCTCTGGCCTAAATTTATACATGTTGGAAAAATTCAGTGTTGCAAATTGCTGTCTCAGGTTAATGTGAGACTTTAACCTGTTGTACCTTAATTCAATCCAGCAGGAAGTCAGGGTTAATTCGAGCTTGCTTGATGTGCTTCACTTCCTTGCCACTTTAAATACAATAGCTCTGGAAAAGTCCATGAAGAAATTAACAATTCTTGCTTTAGAGGATGGCTTGAATAGGTTGTGTGTTAAAGTAAAGCTGAAAGCTGTATATTGAACCACAAGTAACTGAGTTCTTGTTGAAATCTACTGAAACACAGATATTTTCTGTACTTACGTAGAGTGAAGCAAGAGTTGTGGAGGGACAAGGGAGAAAGTGGGCAATCCCATAGTTCTCAAGGAAAATATATAAAAGGACTGAATTAATGATGTCTGTGATAAACTTTGGCAGTTTGGTAACAAAATGCTTGTAACCTTTAGACTGGTTGTTGTAATACTATGTGATGTTTTCACGTAGCTTCCTGTATTTTAAGGAAAACTGCTGATTGAAGTTTTCTTCCCTAGTGTTCACTTGACAGCCCGTTGTTTGAATTAGGCTCTAGCCTGTCCATGCAGTCCCTGTTGCTTATGCTGTGGGAGTCACGTGTAGCCGTGGCAGCTTGTCAGTCCACACCGAGCAGTGTTAGAGCCAGCTCATAGTCCTTGCTAGTAATTTTGCAAGCTTAACTGGCAGGAATTTTGTAACTTGGGAAACTTGCTTAAGTCAAGATGGACTATTTGACTGTGAGCCTTTTGACCCTCTCTCAAAAAGTTGTTCCTCAAGCATTTTCTCTGCATTTTGGCTTGACATTTTTTTTGCACTCTTATTAACAGGCTTCTTGTCTGTTAAGCTGCAGTTTCTAATGCCTTCAAGATTCTGTTCTTACTCTTGCACTAGTTTCATGTGCAGCTTTCCCTCTTCCTTGCCCGCTTGCCTACCAAGACCTGTTTTCCTTTTCTCTGTGGCCCCTGCATTTGAAGTTGTCAGTAGCTCTCTTGGCTCAGAGGAGGGTTCTTTGGGAGCATAGGCACACCATGAAGCAGTCCAGATCTGAAGCTGTGGAGGAGGTCCAGTTTAAACTCAGGCTCGGAGCACAGGGAGAATTTGACTGGAAAAAAATCTAAGGTGACTCCTCCGAGTATATACAAAAAAGTGTATGTTTTTTTGTGTGTGCACAACCTGCTATGTGTTCGTGTGTGTGAGAAATATAATGTACAAACCTTAAACAGAAGTTATTCTCTTGCTTAATTGCAAAGCCCTTTTCCAAATCAGTGTTGCTAGTATAAAAATGAGCACTCTGTTAAGCATGTGTTCTGTGTTTGTGTCTTTTTTGTCAAATTTGTCCTCCGCAGAGGTGCGATGTAATGAACTTCAACCCTGTCGCTTGGCAAAATTGTAAAAGTCAGAGCAGATCGTTATGGTGAGGAGTGGCAAACAACCTTACTAGGTTGTTCTGAGTCTTTCCTTTACCTATTAAATGGAGAGATTGGTGTCTCTTCCTGTCCAGTGTCAAAGGAAATGTTTGGGGATATCTCTCTCTTGCACCTTGGCTTTTGGCTGTGTCTGAGGCAGGTTACTCGAGTAGCTGGGGCATAAGCTACTTGTTGCAAGTCAAGTTGGCTAACTTTGGGAGGGACAGGGGGAAGAAAGGAGTCTTAAGTTACTGTGTACATAACTAGGATGGGTTCTTCTTTGACCTAAAGTCTGTCTTGATGCAGCAGCACAAGCCAGCGAGGAGACTGTCACATTTCGCCGTGAACGCAGCACATTTAGGCGTCAGGCAGTACGACGCCGGCACAATGCAGGGAGTAACCCTACCCCTCCTACATTGCTCATCGGATCACCCCTCAGGTAGGGTATCTAAATGTTCCACCGTATTTAGCATGCATGCAGCAGACCACTGCTCCCCACACCCACCAGTGTTGCCAGAAAAACACCTTTTTTCTTCCCTTCCCACCATAACTTCCTTGAGCTGTCACTGCATGTCACTGTGGGCTTGTTGAATTGTGCATGTATATGTGGCACTATTTTGGAAACGACCAGGATGGCCAATCTCTTAAAACATTATAGTTGGTTTCAGATTGATAACAAAATGAACTAATGCTAACAAACTTAGACTGTTTTCTCAGTTTTAACGAATATTCAGGAGTAGTCCTTACTTCCAAGCAAGGAGGAGGTCCCAAGAAAATACTGTTATCTGTTACTCCTCATTTTGTTTTTCCCTGGGGAAGTGTTAGTGATGGAGGGACATAATCACTCTTGACTCTCTAGATGAGAGATCTAAGTGAGAGATGAGCATTATAGTGAAATGGCAGATCGCTATAAGGAACTGTCACACCTGAAAAGCTTGACAACTAAAATAAGTGTTTTATAAACAGCCTGCAATTTGATTTGCAGCAGAAAATGAGTTAATATTCTGATGATATTTTTATAAAGCACATAATATTGCTCAGTATTAAATCTAACTGCACATAGCATGTCTCAGCAGTGTATACTCTACATGTGTATTCCAGGGCTCTGTAAGCTTCAGACTCCCGTGGTAACAATTTTGAGCCTAGTGATACGTTGCAGACCCCAGCATTGTGTGTTCAGCAGCCACTGTAAAGTAGAAATCTATTTTCATTTCACTGCCATGGCTTCCTACCACATTGGAAGATGTGGCAAGCAGAATGTTGCCCTTAGTCAAAGGAGGAGTCCTGCATCCTTATCCAAGTAGCCTTTCTTCCAGTTACATGGCAAATACTCAGCATAATGAGAGAACCACATTGGTTCTCAACTATCATCCGCCAGATACTAAGCCAACTTGTCACAGTTTTTCAGTGATATCTGTACTTTTTTTTTCTTAAAGGATAAAACCATAGAAATTTTGTCATCTTTTTGGTATGGCTGAAATTCCTATTAAATTCCTACGTAGCCCTCGGCAGGAGGATTTTGCAGTGGTACCTGAGATCTAACAGACCAAGGATTAACTTTGGGCATGTTATAGACTGCAATTAGTAAGGTGTGTTTTCACTAACTGGTACAGTATGTGGTAGAAATGAAGCATTTCAGTTAAATCTTTGGATTCTAAACTTCTGTTCTTGCTTAAACATTAAGTTGGTGAATTACTTTGTAGTAAGGGATGTTGCAATAACCTTTGGATATCACCTTCGTTCTCCTTGCTCTCTCTCCCTCCTCTCTTAGGGTAGTAGTGCAATTTTGTCTCTTGTGTAAGAGGTGGTATGAAGTAATTGGAGAGCAAGTAACACGTTTTCTTTCTCCTAGACAGGTGGAAAGTGAGGCAAAGGGAGGGCTCTGTTTTAAATTAAGATTGACTCCTGCCCTCTTTTCAAGTGCAGTTATTAAGGCTTATAATTTATGTGGGCAAGACACTTGAGGATTAAAGAAAAAGGAAGTAAATGTCCTGGCCAGATAACTCTGGGCTTTTTTGCAATATCTGGATTTGTTCTTTTCTAAAATAAAGCAAAGGTTAATACTTTATGAGCAGCTAATCAGTTTGAACTGCAGATGAGAGAGATTTGCATTATATGGGTAATTTATTTTTTTATGTGCCACTAGAAGAAACAGCTCTTCAGTAACAGTAAAGTATCAGTTTGGTGCATAAGGAAGAAATGTGAGGTAGTACAAGAATTTTTAGCTATTTTGAAAGGCTTCTGTTAGATGACTTACTGGAAATGTACAGCACTTCTGGTTTGTGCCAGTGTGAACTACCTAAGTGCCATTCTTAATTTTGCTAATCCATATGACTTCAAATGTTAAACTACTAATCTGTATTAGACCTAATGTTACTTGTCTTATTCTTGACACAAAAATATAATCTCCTAACTTTTTAGTTCTTGCATAAAATGGATATAATTGGGATAGTCCCTTGGAGCCTATTGAGCTCCACCTGAATTTTTCTACCTACTGTTAAAAATACTTCTATCTTCTATGAAATACTTAATAAAAGAGATGCTGGTGTTTTTAAAACTGTTTGTTCGACAGTGAAAGGCTGTCTAAAGTAAAACCTGGCCAAGTAAATTCTGCTTGTTTGGCCCTAGATACCAATGTATTTTTTGACTTAAACTCCACCTTCATCCTACTTGATTATCAACAGTGTTCTTGAGCACTTCAAACATTCATTTACTTTCGCATCCCTTGTGCTTAATGATGTGCATGTGTGTCTGAACTGAGTGCGCTGTCTCCAGTATGATTATATTTTTAGAATTTTTGTGATTAGGCAGAGATTTAACTCTTTTATGTATCCATGCAATCTACTAACAACATTCTGCCCTCTTTATGCCAGAAATGGACTGATACAATTACTGACAGGACAACTTGTATTTACCTTCTGGTATTCAGCTATCCTTTAAGGGAGAGCTGTGTTCAGCACTGTTATGTTGCTGATGATACTTAAGGAAGACAAGGAAGGCTGATGCATCTGTGAGCTGCCTTAGGGCTTTTGTTGCCATGCAGCTCACTAAGCTTGTCCACAGCAGCAAAATACTGAATTAAAATTCAGACTCAAATGTATTAGAATACAGTAATGATGACTGGCAATTTTGTTACCTCATCAGCTGTATGCATGTCTGCTTTATCTTGCATGGGCTGTTCTTAACACCTATTCTTGTGCATATTAAGATATTTTTTTCCCAGTGATATTCTAACAAAAAAACTGAAAGGTTTTATAGACTATGTTACTATAAGCAAGCACAAGAGAGACGTGGAGATTTTAGAGAGGATCCAGTGCAGAGCGACAAAGATGATTAAGATAGAGCATCTATCATATGAGGAAAGACTAAGTGAGCAGGCCTTGTTTAGCCAAGAGAAGACTGAGAAGAGATCTGATCAATACATACATGAGGGGAGAATGTAGGGAGGAAGGGGCCAAACTCTTCTCAGAGGTGGCCTGTGACAGGACAAAGGGTAATGGGTACAAGTGGAAACACAGGAAGTTCTGTCTCCATATGAGGAAGAACTTTTCCTGTGAGGGTGATGGAGCCCTGGAACAGGCTGCCCAGGGAGGCTGTGGAGTCTCCTTCTCTGGAGATCTTCCAAACCCGCCTGGATGCCACCCTGTACTCAGGGTGTCCTTGCTGGAGCAGGGCGTTGATCTAGATGATCTCTAGAGGTCCCTTCCAACCTCAACCATTCTGCAAAAATGCCAGATGATCCTATCCCCCAACTCTAAAATTTTATTTTTCTCTTCGGCTTCCTTGCTTACTCATTGTAGAATAGCATCATGCTGTATTCAGTGAAATGTAAAAAGCAGCAGGTGATAGTTTGTGTTCTTGATGACAGAACACAGAGGAATGCTCGAAGATATTTTTTATGATAAAAAACACAAAATAGCAATCCTTTAATCTTGTGTAACAAGGTTGTCTTTTGATTTGATCAAGTAGCCTGTGAATAATGTATGACATATAGCTTCTTTAAATATGCCAAATGAAAGGTAATAAACCCACTAACATTGCAAGGTAGAAGTGATCTGCAAGAATGGCACTTTGAGACTTTGCTATGTTAATATTGAACAAGATATTCGCAAAAAAAGCTAAGTTGGTTAAATATCCTAGTAAATTAGTTCTGAAGTGGGAAAGAGGTAAAGAGAGCAAGTGACACTTTCAGGCATTGTCTGCTCATATGTCTGTAAATCTGCAAATATCTCTGAATATCTCTGAAGCCTAAGTTGAATTTAAAAAAATGGCTTTTGGTGCAGGTATGTGTTTATGCATAGAAACAGAAGATTTTTGTGGTAGGAATACTGAGATACTAATTTACTGCAATGCTACAGAAATGAAAGTCTAAAATTGAGCTAATGAGTAACAATATTGCCAATTAATAATTTTAAATACATTCAGAAAAGAAGCCAGTAGAGTCAGAATTAGCTGCAGTTAACTACCAGGTCTGTAACAGTGTATGGCTGCTACTTAAAGACATTTTGTAGAGTAGAGATGGTGGATGATGGTCCTGTTAGTCTGACCAAAAAAAGCCCCCAACCTACAAACCCTTGAACTTTGCTGAGCAAGCCGTGCATTTTCAGGCCCTCAAGCTTGCTTTTGTGCCCACAGATTAACGCCCGTAGAAAAGACTTGGAGAGAAGTTAAAACACAGTGACATATCTGAAAGCAGTCCAGGATCTCTAAAGCTGCTGTGGGAACCAGACAAACAAAATGCTTGACTCTAGAGCTCATGCATTAGTGTAACCCTATCTACCAGCTTCTTAATACCCTCCTACCTCTTCACTTTGACTTTCGAGGGGGAAAAAAAAAAGCTTTGTGTTGCTTCACTGCTGGCTGTATTTTTTCCCCACGTCTTCATCCCGGTAACGTCTCCCCAATCCGTGTTTTTTCGTAGCCTTCAAGACGGTCAGCAAGGCCAGCAGCCCTCCTGCCAGGCCGCAGTGCAGTCGTGCCCCCCCTGCCAGGCCGCTGGGCTCAGCGCTAGCACCTCCTTGCTGGTGAGAAACGGCAGCGTCCACTTAGATGCCTCTCATGCCACTGCGTCTGCTGTAGGCGGTAGCAGTTTGCACGATGACCTTGGTATGCAGGCCTTATGTAACCTTGGTGGCATGGACGGTTTAATGTGGCAGGTGGATGGGTAAAGGCCGCCTCGCGCCTTAGTTCCCTGCCTCTTGCAGTCGCTTTTCCGGGCGCTTTCTCGAATGAATGCACTGGGGGAAATGTTTTTACGCCTTGTAAAGATAAATAACGAAGATTTGAACACGTGTAATGCAGATGCTACTGTCCTAGTCTGCATCGCCACGGATAGCAGGGCAGAGATTGAAATCAGCTTTGGGGGCCTGTGGTTCTTTGTATATGTGGGGGGGCATTCATACTTCTTAGAGGACTCTTAATCTTACCCTCTTTTCCTTTTTATTTTTTGATGAGTCTTGTTCAGCTGCTGTTTAAAAAAGAAATTGCCATGTGAAGGAAGAGAGTTTCTATGCACAAATTACTTTAGCAACCTGAGATCTTATGATGATCACAACTTTCTTGTATCAAATATCTGCAGCTTATTTAGTGCCCCATGGTAGTTCTTTTCTTTCCTCCCTTGAGCGGTTTTTCCATTTTGTATTAAATATCTTAAGTCTTTATTAGCTCATCTTTTTCTCTGCAATTAATAAAGTCTCTATGGCAAAGGAAGTTAAGATGGTTGTAATAAGTGACTGGCTGATGTGACCCAGTAAAGAAGGGGTAGATAGGGAAAAATTCCTGGCGGGGTGTTTGCAGTAATCCATATGTGACCTCAATTGCTTATGACTTCTGGCATTAATGTAGAATTCCTGCTTAAAATATTAACATGGCTGTCTTTAGACCTGATGTTCAGTACTGACACAGTATTTTGGGCAGCTGTGTATGGAGTTATATAAACTACAGGTTAGCTCAGATCACTGATAAAAGACTTGTGCTAAACACTATTGCTAAAAGGGAAATGAATAAAATCCTACTGTGCCAATGAGGAGGATTTCAAGAATTGCAAGCTGTGGTGGCCCTTAAAATATGAAAGTAGCTGTAACTTGTTTACCAAACTGTACCTTCTAGTTGTAATATAAAATCTATAGCCAGACATCCTGTGATAAATATTATAAAATGAGCTATAGATGTGGGAATTGCAGTTAACTGTTCTGCTTTAGAGCCTGTGGTTCTAGCAGTAGTTTCTAGACAGAAAAAACAGAATTTAGGATTATATGTTTCTGAACTATGGAATAATACCTTTTTTCAAGCATACTGAGGCTCAGGACTTCTTACAAGCAAGTTCTTCTGAGCTGTTTATGGTGCTTAGAGCAGAATGGGGCGGTGCATTGCCAGGGCGAGGCACAAAGCTACCAGGATGCATTCATCTAAAAAGCTGATGTGCAATAGAGATTTATTCTTGACTTAAAGCTCTTTAGCAGTTCGAAACATCTGTTTAGAAACCTTCCCTGAGTGAAAACTGTTAGTATAGGCAAGATTGACCCACCCCCTTTTTACTTATTTACTTTTGAAAATTAAATCTTCTAGTTGGTATGGCAGACTTCCCAAAATTCAGTGGTGTGAACAAATGTGTTCTCAAGGAGATGTACATTTTGTGTGAGTACTCTTTGCAGAACAGTCTGCAGGTTATTGTTTTTGCTCTTTTGATCTAAATTACAATAGAGCGAAAGGTTGCCCTTTTTGTTTTTATTTTAATTGTTATGCTTCCGTTAAAGCCATGTAGATAAAAGGATTTCTCCCACCTGTTTTTTCTCTTGCTTAAATCCTACTAGCTGTTTTTTTCCCCCCAACTCCATGGAAGATAAATAGAGCTTATGTTAATGTACATGAAAAATACTAGCATTCCTTGTTTAGTGTACAAGTATAACATCTACCTTTACTTCCTTTCCATTTACATGTTGATGTCAAATTGCAACATGATGTCCAGTTGTCCTTGGAAAGCAGGCAGAATTTTGATTTGAAGATTCATGTCTGTCTTTTGTGGCTTGTTAAATGAAGGGTGTGTCTTAGTGCATTATACCTAGTCTCCATGCAGTCCTATCAGGCAGGTAAAAGTGTGGAGTAGTGGAGAGCAAGGCCAAACTGTAAGGAGCCCCTCAGCAGAGGCTGCAAGCCCTGAGCTATTAACACTTGTCCTGAGCACTGACCCTTCTGCCATAGCTCTCAAAGGAGTGAAGCTTCCTAGCAAGAACAGTTGTCTGATAGTGACTGTTTTATCTTGAAGACTTGGTGACCATGTAGACCTTATCTTGAAGACTTGTTGGGCACTCTCCTGCCCCTAGGAGAAGAGGTACTTTGAGGTCTTATCTTGAGCTGTACCCTAAGGTAGAGAGAAGTTTATAAATTACTCTTGCTTCATGAGGGATGAGAAGGGAAGAACATGAGTGGAAAAAGAAGCTTTGTGTGGAACAGTAAATGGAGAAAATGGTGGGAGAAACACAGGACAGAGTAACAGGCTGGATGCCATAGCGTGTTACAGGCAGGATCAATGTGATCTCCACATGAATCCAGAGAAGTGGGACGGGGGGGCGGAACAGGCCATGACTGAATTGAATTATAGTCTTGGGAGCTAGTTCTGGAGTTAGCTAGCCCTTCATTCTCACTAATACCTAATACTTGGATAATTCACAAATTGCATTTCAGGAAATAGTTTAGAATCCAAGTAATAAATTATTAGAGTAGATGGCCAGTTTCTGAAACGGGCATGAAATGGCAGCGTCTTATCCTCAGCTACTGACCTTTTAATGACAGAATGTGCAATTGCTCTTGTGATTAGAGATCTAGTTATTTGAAGGTCTGCAATACAATTACTCTGTGGCTATTTGTACCATACGCAAATGATATCTGATTTATGTATTAGATTAGAAAATTTCCCATACTATATTAATCAAATTGATCTGTGTATATATTTAAAAGTAAAATTCTATATCAGTTCATCAGTGTCTTTTCAAAATTGTGCTTTACTCCATGGCTTATTTAGCATGCATGGGAGAGTATTTTCAGAGGTACAGGTAAAAGATGACACTGAGTTGTATATGAAGATTAGCTTAAAAATAAACTACTAGGAAGTGTCCAGAGTCCAAAAGTGTAAGTTTGCTGCAGCTAAAAAGAAATTTCTTAGACCTCTGAAAATATTTCTTTGTGCACTAGTCTCTTAAATTCTTACGACTTCACTGGTTGTCCTGACTTGGTTTTCAAGAAGTACTGCAGTGAGTGGCAGAGGAATATATACCAATGGTGCTGCAGGCTTCAGCTGTTAATAGCGTACAGAAACTCCATTTTAATTGGATGCAAGTCACTTAAGTGCCTTTCAGGCTTTATCTGGGTAAGCCCATCAGTCTGCCTTCGTTGATTCTCCAAGTTGTAGAAGACCAGTTCATGAAGGCCTGTGTGTGAGCCATTACACTATCTTTGGACTCGGTAGTGAGTTTTTTGTTCTTGGAAACAAGCCCATATGCTCATTTTTTCCTCTTGCTGTGTCAGGATGAAATTGTAAGCTGGGTTTAGTAGTGCAGTACATGCAAGTATGGCCGAGCTAGAGTTGCTTTTGTAGTTCATGTGATGGTGTTTTGTCTGTTTGTTGAAATCAATTAATACAGGTCTCTTTGCCAGGTATATTTTATTGCACCGCAGTTAAGCAATACTTAAATCAACAGTGCAGATACAGAAATTTGTTGTAGGCTTAAAGATGAGTTGGGTGCGAGGAAGCTATAGGTATTTTATGCTGATATTTTCTGTAGTTAGCAGATGCTGACATTATGTAGCACAGTTCAGTGAACTTAACTTTTGAGATGCTCATCTGATACGTTACCTCAGCCTAAGAGAAATATTTTTTTTCAAGTAACATTTTCTAATTTCTGTGACCACTTCCAGAGTTAAAAAAAATCAAAATTTCATTGCCAGGATCTGATTTGACCTATATAAAAAGCGTAAAGAACTTAACATATCCCAAACTTGCTTGTTTCTTTTAAGAACTGATTACTTGGAGGAATCTTTTTCCAATACATTGCAAGAATTTTGTCCACACTAGAACATGAAGTATATGATCCATTATGTATGTTTGTTAAAATTTCCTTAAGTACTGATGCATTGTGAAAGACATCTCTGAGAGTCAGTTGTCATCAGATTGCTAAGTAGTGTGCTAGGTTTAAATTTAAAACTTGCTTTAGTAATGCCTGTTACACCGCTAACCCAAAGGCTGCTTAACTGAAAGGCTTCTTTAGGAGCCTAACTGTTCTATAATACTAACGAGTGAATTTTCTACTTGTTTCTACTCAATATAATTAAACATTGAGGGAAGACTGTTGCCTAGCTGAATTCTTATGCGTGCTGCCAGTTGCTCTTAAAATATATACCTGCCTTGTCAGAATGGTCTTTTGTTTCTTAGCACATGCATCAGGTTGATTTTTGGGAAGTCTAATGAAGATATATTCTGGTATTTTCTCTAGTTTCACTGTTTTTTTTATCCATCCAGTTACATTTCTTAGTCTCCTCATTTCCAAATGCCTCTGAAGGGAGCTTAGTTTCTTGAGGAACTGAAGAGAGATTGCAGTAAGAGACAGAAAAGAGGGAGAGAAAAGATTGGAGGGAAGAAGAGGCTGCTCTCCAACAGCTGCAGAAAAAGGGACTGGCTTCTCCCTTATCAGCTCAAGGAGAAAGGGAACTTTAGGACAAGCAGCAGAGAAATGTTGTAATTTTGTGCTTTTGATGCTCCAGATTTTTCCTTTTGTTATAAGAAGATTTAAAAACACTTGATGTCTTCTATCCTGGCTTAAAAGATAGATTTTTGAGCTTTAAGAGATGCAGAATTTGGACATTTCACATAAAAAGGCTTCAACTCCAAAATCTGATGCTTATGTTCTAAGCTGAATTATGTTGCACCTGACCTACAGGGGAAAATTAAATTAAGGGAACCTGCCACTTGCATTTTCATCTATGGCTACTTTTAACTTACACATAAACTTGAGATAGGACTCATTCAAAATTAGTTTTCATTAACAAGTATAGGAAGGTGTGCTTAATGGGTTTTCAATAACTTCAGATAGTTTTGCACAGTTCAGTTCTTGAACTGAAGTGTTTTCTTCTGGTTTGAAGACTAAATCTGTGGCTGCCTCTCTACGTTCTCCAGAGAACATCTCTGATGGTTTCTTTGACTCTGGTCTTTCCAAGTAGCAATGTACCTTTTTAATAAGCTTTAAAAGTGGACACTTGAGACATCTCTGCTATAGTTAAATGTCGTGGTTCCTAAACGCTTATAAAGGCTGATTCACTGATCACTCTATAGTGGAGGGGAAAAGCATTGAAGCAATTGGTCCTTGCAAGCTCTTTTCCTCCTTATTCTCTGAAAAAAGTTCCTCTTGTGCTTCTGTTGCATTAATGATATCTTTGTGAATATGAACTCATAAAAATTTGTTGTAATTTAATGTAAATATTGCAGACTGTTACAATAGAACTGAGTAATTAAATTCTTACTGTGCTGTTAACATGTTAGTATGTTATTTTGTATTCTGATGTTGACAAAAATGTAAATGTTGAAATGCATATCATTGGTAAGTTAATGTATAGAAGTTAGTGCCTGTGGGCTGAAATGCTATGGAATTTTGACCTGGTTCTTGACCTTTTCTTTAACAGGTAAGTTCAGTTCTACGCTCTACGAGACAGGGGGCTGCGACATGTCGCTTGTGAACTTTGAGCCAGCTGCAAGAAGAGCATCCAACATCTGGTGTGTGAAGGCCAGTCAACAGTGATGATTCTTGTCTTACTGCAACAAAAACTCTGGTTTTAATTTTAGGAGACCATTTATTATGGACTACAGAAAGCACATTTTTTTGTGTAAAATATCTGTATATTTTTACTTAATCGAACTTCTTATTAGAAAATTACATTAAATGGATAAATCTCCTCAGAAAAATCTTGGAAAATGTAGACTAATGTTAGTTAAAGTGATAAATGTCCACATTGAGAACTTTACAAATCCGTTTCTGATTGACTATAGGAGGTCTCTCAATGATTTAACTTGAATTTTGAGAAAGGAAAGCACAATTGTACTTACTATTTACAAATTACATTCAATTCATAACTGGAAGTTAAACTTGATAAACTTGTTTTTAAGTTGATAGCCTGAAACAATACAGGGTTAATGAAAGTTAACATACCTGAGGTTAAAATTCAACTTACAGTTGAAGTAGCTACATAGACACCTGAAAGTTAATCTGCTTTTGGAAAGATGCCCTTCTTTTGAAGGGGCAGGAGGAGGCAAATAACCCCCAAAGCTCCTCACTGGGTTATACAGAATTAGCCTGAGGCTGTTATATTGTGCTGACTTCAGCTAAGCCCCACTATGTGTAGGTAGAATAGCTTTTGAATTTACAGAGTAGTGCGTTTTAAAAAGTGAACTTTTAAAAACTTGTAAAAACTTGCAAAAACTCCAATTTTGAGTCCTTGCTGTGAACGGGTGCAGGTGCCCCTTGCCGAGCCGAACCACCACCCAGCTCTGCTGCTGGCACGAAGCTGCTGCTGCCCATGTGTGCCACGGGCCCTGCCTTTGGGCCCGGCTGCTGCTGCGAAGCCGCACGTGGCAGCGAAAGAAGCAAGCTGGGCACATCTGAATACCGAGATCTCAGCTTTTCCGGGCAGTATTTAAAAGTTCAGTGAAATAAAATTGATGACAGGGGCAGCTTTTAACTCGAAACAAGAGACTGAAGGAAAGTTTTTTCAAGTGGGAGGCATGATGCGCAGGGAAAAGGTAGAGAGCTAAAAGCTGCTCAAAACTGGGGACTGCCAGAGCTCTGGCCGGAGATGGACTCTGCCAAGAGAAATTTGTCTTTCTCTCTTAAAAAATGGTAATTGCAGAGTAACACGGCTCCTTTCACTGAAGACTTAAGAGTTTTTAAAGCTCAATTTTCATGAGCAATTTGAGAACTTTAATATACTTGTGCCAAGCGTACATCATCTTTGGCATGTTGAAGACTTGGGGAAAATGGTATAAAAGTAACAAAAACTGTTGGTGAACTGAGAGCAGGGAAACTCCTCCAGAAATATGTGGTACATGGCAGCATGATAATCACTGATTTTTTTTAAAAAAACAGCTTTTTAAATCAAATTACTTCTGTAGAAATAATCTTCCTTAAACTTAAGGAGTCTCTAGCTGATCAAATTATGCTTTAAGAAAATTATAGCAAGAGTAAAAAGCTACCTGCTTTGCTGTAATTACAGAAGTTATTGCAGCTTCTGTAGTTGCAGTAACTTAGAAGCCCAACATCAAGATGTTTTTCCTTGCTTGGTGGTGTAAGGTTTTTTACAATAGAAGATACCGGTATTGAAATATGTGATTGAAGGAGGAGAGGAAAAAATTAAAAGTGAATTTTTAAAATTTAAACTTGAAGGCAAAGTTGATCTAGGGCACCAGGAAATTAGAGTGGCTTGCTAAACATCAAGTGTAGTTTTATAATCTGAAGTCTTTCCCCTGTTCTTATAGTGACACGGACTCTCATGTATCGAGTTCTACCTCAGTTCGCTTTTACCCACATGACCTAGTAAGTTTTAAAATTTATTTTTAAAGCATGCAAAAAAATCAGAAGACTTTATTTTGATAGTGCTAATTAATTGTTCTGTGATATTTATCGTGGAAGCTTTGTTACCTTTGTTCAGATGAGATAAGCTACTTATTTTGCAGTGTCTTCACTATCTTCATAAATGCCTTTTTCTTGTTGCAAAGTACTTCGAATATGAAGGGGTCTGTCTGACCTGAAACTTGATTTGAATCTAAAGTTACGCAGAAGTTGGATGTGCTGAGATATCCTATAAAAGGCTTCCAGAAAGAGGATAACTGTATTTGGGCAGAGTTTTGTTCCTGGATGCTGCAGGTGCACAGCAGGTGGTTGAAAGAAAAAATGTCATGGTTTTGTTCTGCAGTGTGCAGACAAAACACAGTATCGGTATTTGTTCTGAAAGGAACTTTATAACCTTTCATTGGAATTACTTGCACAAAGTTTAATTCCTGTGAAATGTGTTCTGGAAAAAAATAAACAGGCAGAGGCTTACATGCCTTCATCCTGCAAATAATTCCATACTTTTTTTAATCTGTGGCCTTTTAAATTGCTGTCATATACAAATTTACCCCTGTTTTTAACCTAGAAGTCAAATGTTGCTGTGTCACTACAACCCTGCAAATGATCATAGTTTTTAAGAAAATAAAGCATATTAAGCTGTTACTGCTAACAATGATAAAGCACGAACTCTTCCATTGCCTTTCCATGTATTTTATTAATAATGCAGACCTCACTGGATGTTAGTTAGGGAAACTCTGATTTTATTTATTATTTATTTATTTCCGAGAGACGTGAGCCTTTGAGAGGGAGAGGCAGCACTGCCAGTGTTGTGCTGTTGGTTTGTCAGCCTGGGCTCGTTAAGGAAGATGATTGTTTAAGGCCCATGTGCCTAAATGGGAACTTCCATTTGAATTGACCATTAGTGTCCTGAATGGTACATTATAGTGATATTCTGCTGATTAAGAAAACAAATTTTGAAGTTTTGCAAAAAAAAAAAATCTCTTTTCTAACACATTTAATAGCAATGAAGACTGCTGTGTCTTTAAATTTTTAAATGCCTTTAGAAAGTAAATGCTACTCACTGTGTTTTCTTCTTTTAATAATCTTTTCTGGAAATGAAAAGCTGTCTGTACGTAATTCAATACACAGAGATTTTAAAGAATCACAGAAAAGTTGAAAAGTTAAAAATTAAATCAATATTTAATACAGTTATCCTTAAATTTAAAACTAAACTTTTGAAACTTCTAACATGAGCACTTAAATTTTACTTTGTTTTAAAACGTTATAAAGAATTTTCCTTAAATGATATCTTAATAGTAGTATTAATTAAGAAAAGATGGGAGTTCAGTAAGCTGATTTTCAGCATGTTACTGAGACTTTATAGATCTGTCTGGATTAGGCCAGACATGTGTGCTTCAAGAGTGTTCTTTTAAACCTTCTGAGTGCTTTCCTTATGTCTTTTGTGATTATTAATACGAATTTCAAGAGAACTACAGGGAAATAAATAACTAGTTGAAGAATAAGTGAGAAATTATTGTCAGTGATAAAATACTTGATCGGCTTGGACGGGATTTCTGGTTCATCTGTAGTATATCTTGTAGTAAGCTTTGCTACTGCTGTTCACGTACCAGTTACTAGTCTTCAGATAGAAAGTTTCTAGAGTAAATGGAATAATTTGCTTAGATGCTTGCTTCATTTGAAGTAAGCTAGAAGACTCAACAATTGTTTTGTACTCAAACTATTAGTGATGCTGGTGTTCACTTCCAGGGCAGGAGGAGTAAGTAGGAGCCTTGTTGCTGACAGTGCTTAATATAAAATGCTTTAAAACTGAAGCTAAATAATGCTAACTGTTGTTTTCAGAGTAGTATTTAGTATGATCAAATAATAGAACATAAATAGGCTTTTATTAATACTGTCTGTCTCTAGCTTTCTCTTCCCCAGATCAGACTGAACAGGCTGCTAACCATAGATACAGATCTGCTGGAGCAGCAAGACATTGACCTGAGCCCTGACCTTCAGGACCCCATGCAACCTCCAGAGGAAGCAGCACAAAAAGTCAAGCAGTACTATCGCTTTTGGATCCTGCCCAAGATTTGGATCAGCATCAATTTTGATAGATTAACTCTTTTGGCTTTATTTGATAGGTGAGATCCTTGCGTGTTCTCAGACTTCAGAAAGGAAAGATTAAAAAAGGGCAACCAAGCTGAGTAGTAGATAGAGATATTCTTAGAAAGTTCTACCTACTATACTCTCCACCATGAAAGAACAACACAAAGTGCCATTTTTTTCTAGTGTAATGTAAGTTATTCTCCTTTCTAGCAATGCTAAAATGAAGAAAAAATTCTGTGTGAGAAAAGCAGCAACATCTCTTAAAGTGTCAAGAAAGAGAGATTTGTTGGAAGTCTTTAAAATGATCCTGTCTAGACAGAAGTGCTGTTAAGTGTTTTAGTCAGTGCTAATGTACCATATGGTATGGGACACGTAAATACTCTTTAGTCCCCTCTACTGTAGATTGGATGGAATACTTTTAGTTTGTACACTATAAAACCATGAATGAATGGGTTATTTCTTAAGTTATCGTGCATTTAGTTTTTCCAAACAGGAAAAGGTGAGGGAGGGATTGTAATTATCCTATATGGAAATCAAATATAGCCTTATGTTCCAGATCATGCTTATTCTAGCTGAGCATTTAAATTATTTCTGAAGCTATCAGTGCTGCTGCTTAAAGGTCAGGTCCACGAGATACTAACTGCTTTCAGCTGTCATTGAAATCCTGGTAGCTTCTCTCCTAGCTTTGCTAATAGGCAGTGTGCTAATATAGCCTCTGCAAATTGAAATTTATTCTTAACTATTTTGCTACCCTCGGTATATTTTATTTGTTAACATCTGACCCTAGCTGCTTCCTTGCAATTTTTTTCTAAACATAGTTAGCTATTAATGCTATCTCTTTTGGCTATTAATGCTATCTCTTTTGTTTTTTTTCTGTTTGTTTTCTCCCCTTATACAGGAATCGCGAGATCCTTGAAAACGTGTTAGCTGTCATCCTAGCTATTCTAGTTGCATTTCTGGGTTCTGTACTTCTTATAGAGGGCTTTTTCAAGGATATTTGGGTCTTCCAGTTCTGCCTGGTAATAGCCAGTTGTCAGTACTCACTGTTGAAGGTATTTTAATTTCCATCTTTTTATTCAGTAGAAATAAATTGTTTGTGTAACAAACTTCCATGTTCTAAAATGTTTGGGTATTGCCTGCCATTTAGGGCTTTGAGGAGAACCCTGTGAGTGTGTTTACAATGCAATGAGTGAGCTTCAGCTTCTAGGAAACTCTGCCAGATGGTCATGCAAGGTCACTTACAATAGTTCTGCATATGTTTGTTGCACAACCCTTTATTTGTTGTTCTTGTGCACATTGTTGCCCTGAAGAGGGGAAAAAACATTCTCACTGGCTGAAAACAGTCGTCTAACTAAACCCAAAACTTCATTGTTCTTCAGGGGATCTACCTGAACATATTCCTATTAAGTAAATATGCATCTAAGCATATTTTAAATAAAAATCTCTTTTATATTTTTGGCATCTCTAAGCAGGACTTTTACATTATAAGAATGATTCTTTTTTTCTCTGTAATTATGGTTAGAATATTAGGATGAAAATTGTATTTAAACTAGGAATGCATACCACATCTTGTGAAACAGCATAAAATATTTATTTTGGGTATTTGAGTAGATAAAATTTTGATTAAAAACTTTGGCAGTAGACATATCTTTGAATATATTGTGATTTTATGGATCATAAATTGAGAAAATCATTTTAGATATAATAAGCTTTAATAAATTGGGAGGAAAAGAGGGTAGATGAGCTTATCCATAAGGTGGATAATTTTTCTCTCTGCCTTTTGGTTTCAGAGTGTTCAACCAGATTCTTCTTCCCCTCGACACGTAAGTCATAAACACGTTCCTCTTCAGTAGCCTTGCAGAGGTAGGGCTTGTCCTGCAGAGCACTGAGCTGTTTGTTTCGAGCTGTTGCATTTCTCAGTTGCTACTTCAGGCACAAGCGGTGTAGGCTGTTTTAGTGAATGGAAGTCTCTTCCCTCCCATCCAGTTTCTGCTTGTATCTAGTATATGGTAGCCTTTCTGTTCAGAGCCTAGCTTGTACTGTGGAGCCAAGATAGCTTTGCCAGTGAAACTCTAATATTCAGGCAATTATGCTCGAAAATATTCTTGTTATAACTTGTTTACTGTTGTTCTATACTGCCCTTTCAGTTGCTTGAAGTGTGGACCCAGCCTTATTCTTTCACTTGTAGAACTATGAATATTTGCCACAGTGCTCTAATGAGCACTAACCTTTGAGCATAGAAAGGTTAACATGATAGTGCTGAATAGCGTGTCAGGATTTTTACTTATTTGCTAGATTGCTGGGACAAAATATTTTTATATCTAAACAAGCTGTGACTTGTTTAGACAAGTCTATTTCTCTGCAGCAAGTTATTCATAGTAATTTAGGTAATGAGTCATGTTTTAATGAAAGCATTGAGCAGCAGCAGTGTCTGATCAATAAAGCTTAATTGCTGTTTCTTCAAAATTAATGTATTCTCTCCTGTTCATGAGGCCTAGTCAGAGCTGCTTCTGATGTTTAGTATTGTAGGAAAAATAATTTCAAATTCAGAGGAGAATAGGGTAAACATAGCTTTAGCCTACCTGCTGTGTATTCATTACAGAAAAGCCACAAAATCCAGGCTTTTATAGCCCTGAAAAGCAGTACACTGAAGATCGTGATTTTTAACTTAAAGCTGTGGTGGGATTGCAGCACACTGTGAGAATGTAGCTGCTGAACAGGAAGTAAACTCTAATGATGAAATTCTTTTCTGGTAATAAAACTTTTTCCTTTGACAATAAAACAAATATCTTTGTTTGTCTCCACCTCGACAGGGTCATAACCGTATCATAGCCTATAGTAGGCCTGTATATTTCTGTTTATGTTGTGGTCTTATTTGGCTGTTGGATTATGGCAGCAGAAACATATCTACAACAAGATTTAGGTTGTATGGAATGGCTTTCACCAACCCATTGCTGCTGCTGTCAGCCAGGGACTTAGTTATAGGTGAGTGACTCCCATGTGGATTTGAACTGTTTGCCTCACCACAATGGAATTATTTTGTTTTTACACTGTGTTTCTGAAATGCTCATGTTACACCTTGTAATTATAGTTTTTAGTTTTCTTTGGGAGGAATAACTTTGAATTTGTTGGTGTTTGTGGAAAGTTTGTTCCCCTGCATATGCACCTGTCCTGTCACAATTGAACAGAAGCTCTTTTGAGGCAGGTTTTATATATTTTGCACTTGGGTAAAGCAGTGAGGATGCAAGAATTTTCAGGTACACTGTAGACGGATTAAATCTTATTTAGCGCTGTGTTTTAGAGGAGGCCTCCTATCAGTAATATCAAAGTATAATTTTGGGCTGTGGATGAGGTATTTTCATTATGTTTGGGGAAGAATGGTGCCTGATTCAAAAAAAAAAAAAAAAATCACCCCACACAACCTCCTCTATATTCACTTGTGCAGAGCCCATAGAAAGGCCAGACAAAATTGTCCTAAAAAAATAAAAATGATATTCAGTCACTCCTTGGGTCTAGTGTTAGAAACTTAAAATTGAGACCTACTTCTTTACTAAGTATTCCCACGCTGTTTTTATCTTTTGGTTGCTGAAGCTACAAGTCAGATTATAGAAAAGATCTGACTGGGAAGGATTTTGTTTTAGGAATATCTTCATGATTCACAAGTCTGGACAGGCCATTCTCTGTATGAAAATGAAATAGTAATTGCTTATATTCGTTATAAATACTGTAGTCTTTAGTGGTTTTATTGGCTCGCTCAGAGTTAACCTTTTCCATTGAAAAATGTCAATGTGACACGTGAATCTATTGCCCAAACCTGTGTGGGAAAATCTGGGTAAGGCTGTTGGGCAATATTGGCAGCAGAGAATTGGGGGCAAAGTGTCCAGCCCCTCTTGAATGAGCAGGGCCAGTGTTATCTTGCTTACGTAACTCCAGGCAGGCTCTGAGGCACATGGGAGCTGTGGTTGTGATGGACGACATATACAAATCTTGGTGGCTGTCCTTAGCTGATCTTTGCTAAAACTTTATTGCATGGGACTGTAGCCATCCGAATCGTTGTAGTGATTAAAATCACCAGGTTAGAAATAACTATTGGTTGAGGTAATGACTCAGCTTGGCTAAATATAGAGGTTAAAGTTTAGATTTGCATAATGTCTGTTTTCCATGGAAATCATTATAGAAAAGCTTTAATGCTGTTGAATTAGATATTGTGTGTTCCCCTTGAACTTGAGAGAACTGAAGAGTACACTACAGTGCTGTATTTCTCACAACTTTTTCATTTTTTTCTTCCTGCAGTGTTTACACTATGTTTCCCCATAGTATTCTTCGTTGGTCTCCTGCCTCAGGTGAACACGTTTGTGATGTATCTCTGTGAACAGTTGGATATTCACGTCTTTGGTGGTAATGGTGAGTATGGCTTTTCACATCGGTGATGAAAGCTTTTGATTAGGCAAAAACCTTCAGATTTAATAGGATAGCTTAAAACTTGGTGCTTATTTATATTCCTACCTTTTATGTGCAGAAGGCTAACTATATTTTCAAGTTTGATTTATTACTGAGGAATATCACTACAGTAAGTCTATCGAAATTATGATTTCTTCCCCTACTGATTTCGGTCTTGCAGCTGTTAACCATTTCTATTATGATACTGTTGGGTAAGGGAGATAAAGCAGTATAATTTGCTTTTTCTCCCTCATGTAGGTAAAAATGCAAGTAGTTGCTATGAATGTTTTTATCAGAGAGATTTTGCAACTAGAGGGTGTCATTTTTCTGCAACAACCTGAAGTCTTCTGTATTCTGATCTAACTAATTATGTATTGTTGAACTGTCCTTTCTTTTCCATTACTTACAGCTACCACAAGCCTGCTTGCAGCACTTTACAGTTTTATCTGTAGTATTGTGGCAGTAGCACTGTTGTATGGACTATGCTATGGTGCCCTGAAGGTGAGCACACTTGCAGACTTAATATATGTGAAAATTTGGGGTTTATTTTCTGCTTAAGTCTTGAATTGTAAATATGTAGATATGAAAAATGTGACTTAGAAAGTACTCTTCTGATTTGACACGTTCCTATACTTGTTTTGCTGTATTGCAAATTGAAAGATAAAAAGCAGGAAGGAATTAAACTTTTGCCTTCAGAGATCTATGACAAAAGCATATGCTAATGAACACTATCAGGTACATACTAGCAATCAAATATGCTCAGTTGACAATCATAAGGGTTCCTTCAGAGTTGACTTACTCTGGCTCTTTTCCACTGTCATAGATAGTAAAAAATGTTTGAGAGGAAATATTCCCATGTCGCCATCACCCACAGAACATTATTAGTGTTCCTTGAATAACTCATTAGCCTTTTGTAAACATACCAGTGAAAGATAAACAAGCTTTTGCAAAGAATCATCATCTCATCTTTGCAGCTCCAGTACAGGTTTTGGGACAAAAATTGAATACGCCTCAGAATCAGCACATTCAAAAAATAATAATAATAATAATAAGGGGAGGGGGGCAAGAAGGCAGGCAATTCTAAAATACTAAAGTGGCAAAAAATGCAGTTCTGAGGAGCTATGGCTTCAAAGCATGAAGGATGTTCTTACTATTCCATAACTCTCACAATGGTTTTGAAAACTAATTAATGATTAAGAAATATAAGTACTATTTTAAAGGTTCTGATATGTAGTATGCCTAAGTAAATGCCAAGTAATATTTTTATACTATAATTACTGATATGTTTTTGTTGTCAAGTTATTTTTCCTTTCTTACACTATCATATCTTTAATTCTTGAATGTCCCATAATTGTTGTACACTTTATTTCCTAGCTATTAACATTTCATTTCTGTCCCCAGGATTCTTGGGATGGGCAGCATATTCCAGTTCTCTTCTCCATATTTTGTGGCTTGTTAGTGGCCATATCGTATCATCTCAGCAGACAAAGTAGTGACCCTTCCGTACTTTTGTAAGTGTCTTGCTTTATAGCTGCTTCCCAATGAAGGAGCAAGTGTTAAGGGAAAAGTATGCTTTGCTGGTAGCAGAAGTGCAATTGAAACTGGGAGTTATCAGCATTACCAAACAGTGCTGTGTTGCTCTGGTAACTAGAGAGGGGAGAAGAATTCTTAAATTTTGGACCTGGTTTTGCATTTAACCATAGTCCTTCTGTGTGACTTGTGTCAACTTGCACTTCAGTCAGACTTTGTGGTGTATGTTAATACTCCCAGAGTTGCCACGCAGCGGGTATCTTTCTGCTGGTGTCCTTGTGTTGAACTCCCTGACTGGTTTAGCCATTTTGTATCTAGAGAGCTGCTGGAAACATTAGTGAATATGGAAGCCCATGTGGGAGCTTTTCAAAACACTTACTTTGCTCGTAGATTCTTATTTTTAATGAATGTTCAAAGCACTAGTGCAAATAGACTGCTCCCAGATGCAATGATTTTGGTGATCGGAGTTCTCCTCTAGCATGAGGAAACGTGTATTTAAGTTCATCTTCTGAATTTGAGCATTGACCTGGTGAGAGTATTTCTGATTCGGTTAGTTATTTGTGTAAAGCAAAATACTTCCAGTAGGAGAAAGGCCTCCCACCAAACTGCCAGTCATGGCTTAGTCAAAGATCAGGGTTATACAGAGCTTGGAACTTGGATTTAAGATTAGCCACAGTTCCGGCTGAACGTGATAAGCAGTGATCGTGAGATAGTCCGAGGCCTTTTAGTGGATAAGAAAATCAATGGTTCCTATCAGAGTGCCCCATGCAGAGAAGGGAGCCACTTACCTTTGGCTGGGTTAGGCAACTAAGCTTCTGTGTTGCTCCTCCTAGATAATTTAGATGATTTCATACTCAGTTGGTACAAAGTCCTTTTCTTTAGAAGTCTCTTCTCTTCAAATACTGTATCACAGATACTTGTCTGGCCTCTGGATTCCAGTAGTCAGCAGGATGTGTCAGAGTTGAGCATGGCAATATTTTGCCTTTGTAGGTTTAGGGCTTTGTTCTGCAGTTAATCTTTTGATTATAAAAGCATCTGTATATAAATACTCAAATATACACAGATATGTATATGTGTGTGTATATATATAAAATTTTGTCTATAACATATGGTACATGGTAGGAAAAATGCACTGAAGGGCTGTAACATATAGGCCTGTTAGTGCTGTATATAGTTTTCTAAAAGCCTAGATATAAGGTTTTTGAGCTTTAGCACCAGTAATGTGTGCTGAGAAATTATAGTTAGGCCAACATCATCCAATTATGAATTAACTGCAGGGGCATAGCTTTTTAAAAAATTTTGTCAATACACAAATCAGAGAATCAAAATTTCCTTAGTTAAATGCAAATAGGTCCCTTCTGGGATTGGATCAAGTTCTGTATTTCTGCAGTAAGGACAGTTTCTGCTTTGTTTCAAGTGTGAAAATGAAGCATTTGTGGTTACCTGATTGATGTAGGAGAAACTGCTGTTTGAATAAGATCTATATCTGTTTGTCTTTTTTTAAAAGCTCTTTAGTGCAATCAAAATTTTTTCCTAATTCCGAAGACAAAAACCCTGAGGATCCTCTGTCTGAAGTAAAAGATCCCTTACCTGAAAAGCTTAGAAATTCTGTGGTAAGTGGGCTTTACTTTAATTTATTTATTCCAATCTAAGTATTTGCTGTATGTTATTGGTATTCTATCAGTGTAGACTTGACTTAGTTCACAGCAATTGTTACTTGTCAGGGTGTTGTTCAGAGCTGGGTAGTAGAGAGCCTAAGTAAGATCAAGTCTCGGTTGCCTCAGGAATTAAGTGCAGTGCATATCCTGTTCTCAGATAACCCATAACACACAGTATTTACTTGGAAACCAATGCCTAGATTATCTTAGTGAAGGAAAAGAGCTCTTATTGGTGTGGGAGAGAGAGAAGGTGCTATTCCATGTTAAGGAGGAAGAACTCTGGGAGAGCTCAGCTCCTTGCCTGAGGAAATGCACTGCAGGCCATACCGTGCTCCCTGCGTTACACACATGCCCCTGTATAACCTGCCCTGCTGCTGCGCTCAACAGAGGCTCATTGGAGTGAGAAAACTGGAGTTTTCTCTTAACTCCTTTTGCTAATGTGGTAGTTGCTTTTGTGTGGAAGTACAAGTTGGAAAGAAAAACGGTGCTAACACTATTACCTTAGTATTTCTAGTAGCTGTGAGCAAAGGCTTTATATGCTGTGTTCCAGAACAAAACCAGAAATGGTGAAAACCTTGCTGGGCAAACATAACCTGCTATATTTACTTTAGCCTGTACTTATTTTTTAATCACTAATGGTGTTAACTTTCCTCCCTTAAATTGGAGATGCTGGCACATACTCAGTACACAGACCTGACTGAGGAGGAGGAGAGAAAGAGATCAAAGGACCTGGAATTTCCTGTTTAGTTCTTCATCCCTTATCTTTAGTTGCCTGTTTAGGGGGGGGAAAAGAAATCTGAGAAATACAATGTACTCTAATAATAATAGGTAATACACTATTATTGTCTCTTCCAAAATAAGCTGTATCCCAACAACTTAGGAGCTTGAATAAATAATTGCTGTGGGTAATTACTTGGTCAGTATTAGGGTGGCTAATCCAGTAGTGCCTTTCTGATCTGGACATATTAATACTGTATTTGTACAGTGTGGGAGTGGGGCTGCACTTGGAAGGCTGTTGAACTCAAATGGCTGTAGGTCTGTGTCGCCCCCTTGTGAAGGAGTCTGGTGTCAGTTATTTTGTTGTGTCTTAGAAAAAAAAAATCTTTAAAATAGCTTGATTCTCTCTTCTTTCATTCAACTTGCTCTGCTTCAGGGTCAGATTTCTAAAAGCTTCTCCACCTGTTCTGCAAAGTGGAAGGATGATAAAAGAGAAAGAAGCTGGATTTTGTGTGTGTGTGTATGTTGGGAATAGTGATCAACTCTTCCAGCTCTCTTTTTTTAATGCTGTTAAATACAATCCTTATACTGTCCCCTCACAGTCTAGAATGAGTGAGAGAGAACAGACTGAGTTAGTTTTCCTTGTACTGTTTTAGGTAGGTATATTTGCAGTTAACTCATTTGGATGACTTCATCATAAGACTTTCCTAGTGTTTGCTAATAATTATTTCAGGTTACCCTTTGTAACTTTGAAATAAGGGATTTAAGAATGTTTTTTTCCAAAAGCATTGCATGTCTCTTGTGCCAAACTGAGATGTGTGAAACTTGTAATAATTTTAGTGGAAGTAATCGATACTGGCATCATTTGAAGATTCTGTAATTAGCTTGAACGTTACTGGTGTTTAGCTTGAACGTTACTGGTGTTGAACTTGAAGACTTTGACAAGGACAACAAGGATGGGTCTTTTCTAAAGATTATTTATGTTTATTTTTCCAGAGTGAACGCCTGCAGTCCGACCTGATTGTGTGTGTTGTCATTGGTGTGCTCTATTTTGCAATTCACGTCAGCACAGTATTTACAGTGCTACAGGTGAGGGGTTACATCGTGCCTGCTATTTGTGTCTTTTTAATATCCAGATACTGTAGTGTTATAACACATGCACAGGTAATGCTCCAGACTTCCTGAGTGGCTCTAGATCATCTTGAAATATATAGTGAGACCAGTGCCTGAAGATCTTCACACTTCAGTTCTGTGTCCCAAATCTCCTCCTTTTCTGTTTTCTTTTAAACTCTGGGGTTTTTTTGTATTGTTTTATTTTGTTTCTTTAAATAATATAGTCCCTGCCACTCTGTAATGATGATGACTTTCAGCCAAACCTATGGTAGGATCAAATCAAGTAAAGGCATTTCTCAGGAGAACTAGCTAAAGAATGTTTTTATTCCACCATTCCTCAAATGAAATTCCAGTATTCCTCAAATGGAAGTTACTGGCTTGCTTAAGCAGCGTTATTTTAGGAAGATGAAAAGTAGGGGGATTTTGTGTTTTTTGTTTTGTTGTTTAATCCTCTGCATTTTGGAAGGGTTTTACTGTCCTGCTGCATCTGCTTACAGTTAAAATAAGAAACTCATTTTTACAAAGTACATGCATTTAGGTCATGTCAGATACCAAAGTTATCAGATGTGAGTCTTGAGCAGGTGTGCAAGCTTTTTCTGTAAGAAGACTCTTCTGTTGTGGATGGAGTGTGGCACTCAAATATTGCCCCTCCTGTGTTGGGGAAATTTGCCTATATGTTCTTCACCATCCTCCTGGTTGAGTAGGCTTGGACTTTCAAGAAAACTTCAGGATTCACAGTTTGTAATAAAATAACAATCCTGATTCTGCTGTGCCCTGTCTAAATCTTTATAGGCAGCTATGCATATAAAGTGTTAGTCTGAAATTTAGTTTTGATACCATGCAAATATACTATAATTTCTGATTAGGATTTGATCTTAGTGGAAGGCTTCTTAATCAGCTGTTCTTCATGAGAACACAAGAGTAATGATTTCTTTTTCCCTTTGCATTGGCTCCCTTCCTTCTCTCCAGCAGATAAAGTAAATCAGATTCTGCCTTTAGAGGATAAAGGCATTTTCTTTTAAGAAACAAAATACAAATGGGTCAGAAGCAGCTGGCTATGCAATGACACTAGTAGATTTTATTTTCTTCAAGGTGCCATGGAAATGTTAGCAGAGGACAGATAATTCACTTGGGCAGACATTCCTTGTTTGACACGCTTTAAGTTGACAGTATATTTCTCCTGAAAAAATCTATGCCCAATTTTTGCAGGAATAGCTACCTAGATTCTGGAAAAGCTGTTGTGTTGCTATTTAATTATCTTATTTATAAAATACAAACGTTAATTTATTCAATTCTTCTTTTGTTTAGCCTATTTTAAGTTATGTTCTCTATGCATTGGTGGGTACAGTAGGCTTTGTGACCCATTATGTTCTGCCTCAACTCCGAAAACAACTTCCTTGGCATTGTTTTTCTCACCCGTTGCTGAAAACCAAGGAATACTATCAGTTTGAAGTCCGAAGTAAGTATCGCAGATACTTTTTTTTTAATTTGCAATATTTGCAGACCAATTTAACTGTCAGAATTCTTCACTCTGTTTTGTTGTCAGCACTGTAGTATTTCATGACATTCAGTTTAGTGAGGTATTAAGTGAGGTTCCTTGTGCTTCGATTCCATGAGGTTTATGTATCTTTTAATTAATCGTGGTAATATTCTGGATATGCTAATCTTATTTCCAAGCAATTCCGTTAAAGATTTCTCAGAATGTAATGATTCTGATAATAATTGCTTTGATAATTCTGGTGAACTTGTTTTTTTTAATAGATATTTCTATCAGACTGAGGGATAGATCTTGCTAGTTGATATGCATGGATAGACACTGGAATCCTGAGTTAAAGTCTAGGTCTTTATGTAATCTTTCCGTGGCAGCTGTAGAATATCTAAACATCCTGCTGTTCAATTTGCCAACACAGGCTAATGCTGGGATAAATAGAAATGTCTAACTTGATATTAAATATTTCTGTAGGCAAGAAGACAGAGATATGTGGATTTTTTCATAATAAATAACTTGAATCAAGGATCTATGATTAGCAGTCTCATGAGTTTAATTTGATATTGCTATCTCTTTCTCTTTTTTTGATATGTCTTGATAGATGCTGCACACGTTATGTGGTTTGAGAAACTTCATATTTGGCTCCTTTTTGTAGAGAAGAATGTTATCTACCCATTGATAGTCCTCAATGAGCTTAGTAGCAGCGCTAAGAATATTGCTAGTCCAAAGAAACTGGATACAGAGTAAGTAGAAAAGGTTATCAAGTAATCTGAGTATGACCAATATGCTTTAAAATGGAAGAGTGAGTTGCAGTTTCAGTGTGAAGACGGCTAATGCATTTGCTTGAAACTAAGGCAAGGAATAAATAATTTTTTATTTGCAAGTTCTTACGGACCTGAATCAGCTTTCTGGCTTAAAATGAATGGAGTGTTTCAAGGTTAAATTGGGAACTCTTGCAAGGAAATTTTTCTCTAATCATGGCATATACTGTAAAGATCACAGGTTGCTGAATTATCTAATAGTGTACAGTCAGAATTTCTTTTTTGATCTGCGGAGTCTTTAATACATTTTTCCATGCTGCAAAGTTAAGATGTCTAGAGTTCACTTTGCTATTGTCAGACATAGAGCTAAGACTCTGGCATTTCCTCTCTGATCATGTGCTAGTTGGCAGCCCCTGTGCTGCTTTCTTCTCTCATCAAGAAATTCCTTAGGCATTCTCCTAGGAGAACTTGTTTCCCAACTGAATTGCACGCTCTTAAATAGAGCCTTGGCTATCATTTCCAAGTTGTGTATCCAGCTGTTTCTGTGAGTCCAGTAGTGTAGGCCCTGTGGTTTATCCATCCAAAAAGAGTGACCAGGTGGCCTTCTGGGATTTGTTGTTCTAATGATCTAAAACAGAAGTATTGAAGAGAAAATAAATCTTAAACCAGAGTGATATATGTAGTTGCTCTATTCGATAGAACAGAAATATTGGTTTAATAATCCCAGGATATAACAAATTCTTGCTTTAGATTTAATATTCTTGTTACTCCAGAGGGAATTATATAGGATTATTACCATTAGCTTAGATTGAAGAGTTATAAAGCAGTTTGCTACTAGCTATGAAAAACACACCCTTGTATTGTAATTTCATTATTGTGCTGAGTAACTGCAATATAAGTTGAAGCAATATAGTCATATGGGAAATGCTCATAACCTACTCCTTAAACATCGTCTCAGTGAATAATATAGATCATTCTTGACACTTCTGCATCTCAATATTCATAGCCCGCATTATAAATGAAGCTTTTGTTCTGAATATGGGGGTGGTATCAGCTCTTTTTAGGGAGACTCTGACAAATAATGTTAATACTTTGAACAGTATTTTGGACTACTGATTGGGCTTTGCACTGTTGATTGATAGACTCTGACAACCCTCTGTAAATGTGGAAACGAGGGAAAAGAAACCCTAAATCCAAACCTTGAGGTTTTTAAAAAAAAATCGGTATCAAAACTGCAATGACTTATGTGGTCTTTAACAACCCTTTTAGAAAGCGCAGATAAATAACTTCTCTATAAATTTCTCACACAGGTTGGGTGCTTTAATGATCACAATAGCTGGCTTGAAGTTACTCCGTTCATCATTCAGTAGCCCAACGTGCCAGTATGTCACTGTTATTTTCACAGTGCTTTTCTTTACTTTTGATTACAAAAGTTTTACTGAGACCATGCTGCTAGATCTCTTCTTCATGTCCATACTCTTCAGCAAGGTAACTTTAACTCTGTCTATTTCTGGGTGTTTCAGGTCATCCAAAAGGGAAAACGGACTCAAATCCTAATTGATAGGTAATCTTCCAGGTCATCAGTCCTACCAGCACTGTAATCCATATGCTATAAGACAACTGAGACTTCTCGTTTCCAAGCCATGTTTCCTAGAGGAAAGAACATGTAACCTTCTAAAAAATGTCATGGGTTTCTGTTAGTAGAACAATACAGTGCATATCATGTTAGTTGCTTCATTATTCCATCATTCTGTAAATCTGAAGGCTTCTGGCAGACCTGTAAGAACTCTGGGAGGATCAGGAAGCCCTTCTGGGTATTTGCTGTGCTGTTAATCAAGGTGATTTGTTTGTTTATTTTATCCAAACCACTAAATTCTTTTTTTTTCTTTCCTGTAGCTTTGGGAACTCTTTTATAAATTAAAATTTGTATATACCTACATTGCTCCCTGGCAGATCACGTGGGGATCTGCATTCCATGCTTTTGCGCAGCCCTTTGCTGTGCCACGTATCCTTTGAAAGTGCAAATTCAGTTTGTCCATTTGTATTTCTCATTTCTGAGTGTTGCATTATAATGGTTTGTGCCTTTTAGACTGATCAGTATATGAGCATGCTTGTCCAGTGAGCATTTATGAAAACCACTTGTGACCAGACAGGCAATTATACCATAGCGTGAACACAGAAGCATAGAAAAGGGCAATTTCACTGCAAAAATAACATAGCTTTTCTTCTGAGTGTCATTTTCTTTTTTCAAGAATTGCTAACTCTGGTCGCTGGTTCCTGAGTTAGCAGTGCATTTCTAGCTTGCATGCAAAATGTTTTGAGGTGCATTGAATTAATAATCTTTGAAGAAGGTCTTCCAGAAAAAGAATTACCCCTCTGTCTACTGTCAGACTTTTTTCGCTAACTTCTGTATTTAAAAACAACAAAAAAAATCACTTATTGGAGATATGGTAAAGATACAATGCTACATGAAGCTTTTCTCCTTAATTGGGGCCCCTGTCTACTTAATGTACCATTAAAGAAGCTTGAAAATACAGGTGTTGCTTTCCTTAACCTAGTTATCCCACAGATTCTGCAATGTTGTTTGTCCAAGCAGCTGTGTCAGCTTTCTTTTCCACTCCGCTGAATCCTTTTCTGGGAAGTGCAATATTCATCACTTCATATGCCAGACCTGTTAAATTCTGGGAAAGGGACTACAAGTAGGTGGGATAAAGCCTTTAAACATCTGCGAGGTTGGAATTGGGGATTAATAATATTTCTGTGGATTAAATATATGTCAATCTCGAAGTACTATTTCTTTTTTTCCAGAAAAAAGGAATTTAGATTTCTGCATGCTTAAAAAAAAAAAAAAAATCTTGCTTCTCAAATAATATAGTAGCTATGGTGTTTCCTCATAGTGACAGTATTTCTTATTTAATTTCTATTTATAGGAGTAACGTATCTTGGTTTTTTTTTTTTTTTACACATCAAAATTACCCTATTTCTAAAAACTTTCATTAAGAGGTGAATTTTAGATACAAAAGCTACTTTGAGGTTTCAAATTGTATGTGATTTCATTATTGGTCATTTTATAACTAAAGTTTCCGTGGCGGTAGCACCAAAACACACTTTGAAATCATTTAAGTAAATCTCTTGATCAACAAGCTGTTAACAGTAAGAGATTTTTCATGTCAGATCAAGCCTCCAAGTTTTATTTCTCCAGTATTGCTGGAGTGTCAGACCAGTGAAACAAATAGCCTAGGGCAAGATGAGCACAGCAGAATGGTGGGTGTAAGTACCATTTTCAGAATTAAGGGTAAAGAGCTAGGATTGTGTTTTGAGCCAAGAAAATGACAACTGCACTTTAGAAACAATCAATCAGTACAGCTAGCATGTCTATAAACGTTGTGATATCTACCCAAAAAAAAATGTATTTATGATATCATGTCTAAAAATAAAAATTATTTTATGGCTAGCTATTATGGGCAGGTTCTTGCTAGGTATTGGTTCATAATGCTGTGAAAGACAGAAAACATTTTTACAAATCATCATGTAAAAAATAAGAAAAATCTTTACAAATGATTTCACTGGAAATACTTTTCAGTGCTTTGTTCTGTTAGTGGCCTCTTCCCTTAAATTTTGTAACTGAATGGAACTTTGTGTTAAGACCTTTATTTTGTTATTTTCAGTACAAAGCGTGTGGATCACTCAAATACAAGACTGGCTTCCCAGCTTGATAGAAATCCAGGTAGCTTTTCAAGTTTGGTTTTTTGTCTATCTGAAGTTGTTTTAAAGTACGGGAGAAATGAAAATGTTATTTATTTTTAATAGGGTATATAATTGGTTTGCTCTCTCACCATTTTTCCCCTCTCCCTAATTCACTTCCCACCCCATTCTCTGACCCTCTGCTGTTCTTTTCTCCTGTCATCTCTTCTGCTGTGTTATTTAATTGTCGTACATGGCTTTTTCTTATCTCTTCTCCCCTGCACTTAAGTGCCTCTGCTTTACTTTCCCCTCCTTCATTTATAACCAAAGTGTGTATAAAGTTGATTTGTTTTTATTCTTCTCAAGGAGCTAAAAATAAGCCAAATGTTATTTGAGGATATCTCAGTGGTATCTTTAGTGATAAGACCATACAAGTCATTACTCTGTGCTCACTTACTATTGCATATTATTATACAGAATAGAGCGAAACTGAAGGAATAACTTGGGAAATGGAACAGTGAATCAGCAAGAGGGGAAAATACTAGAAGTATTAAACTTCACCTAGGATTCCACTGGAATAGTTGTCTCTAAAAATAGAGATGGCACCTTGAAATGAAATTGTTGCTAAGAAGGGACTCGGTGTGAATGGATAATTTTCATTGACATTCAGGCTTGAGGCTTTTTTCTGCTGATTCAGATGATAACCCAAATTCTGTCTTCCTGCAGGTTCAGATGATAACAACCTGAATTCAATTTTCTACGAACATTTAACCCGTTCCCTTCAGCACAGCTTATGTGGAGACTTGTTGTTGGGTCGGTGGGGAAACTATAGTACAGGAGACTGCTTCATCCTAGCCTCTGACTACCTCAATGCACTCGTACACCTTATAGAGATAGGAAATGGCCTGGTCACCTTTCAGCTAAGGGGGCTAGAATTCAGAGGTGAGTATGCTACCCTTTTATTACCTGTCTTGCAAAGCAGACTTCTGCTCTAAAAATTAAAGTGACTTTCAGTTCCATCCTGTTAATCATTTGCTTTGAAAATGGGCTGCAGGACATCCATATACTGTCCTTTGTGAGGGAAGCCAGCTTTTTCTTGCAGGATTTGTCAAGTCTCTCTTTCCATTTTAGTGCAGCATGGCTACCATAATGGTTTCTTACCTTCACCTCAATGTAAGTGTTCCTATAAGTGCCTCCTGTCACCTCTTCTCTCTGAAGGAACCTATTGCCAGCAACGAGAAGTAGAGGCCATCACTGAAGGTGTAGAGGAAGATGAAGGCTTCTGTTGCTGTGAACCAGGCCACCTTCCTCACACGCTGTCCTTCAACGCTGCCTTTGGTCAGCGCTGGCTGGCGTGGGAAGTGCTTGTAACAAAGTATGTGCTGGAGGGCTACAGCATCACTGACAACAGCGCTGCTTCCATGCTGCAAGTCTTCGATCTGCGAAAAATTCTCACCACTTACTACGTGAAGGTATCGCCGATTAATGCACATGTTGGGGGAAATAGGCTGCCTTGGCTGGGGAGTGTTTAAACCTCTGTCCTCATTCATGAGGAGATCACAGAATGTGATATATGTGATATAGGCATTTGAACAGTTTCATCAGGTGCTGGAGTTTGCTGAGCTGGTAAATAATTGATCCTGTGCTGTGTGAACAGGAAAAGGATCGTGTAGCCTAGAACAGGAGGGGAACACCCTTTCCAGCTGAAAATGGAGACGTTCAAAGGCTGCTACCCAGATGTAAAATCTGCTGAAGAAAATGAGAAAAAAATAATGCATCTAGCCTGTTCCTGTTGGAGAAAGTCAGGCTGTTTTGTTATTTGAAAGCTGTCCAAGCCCCTCTTTGTTTATTAAAAAAAAAAAAAAAAAGTACACAAACTGATTAGCTAAGGAAATCTGAGGTCTAGAGTCCTTCAACTATTTCATGTGTCTCAAGCTCACATCTTTCAGAATGTGGGAAAACTTCAGATTAGAGTACTTACCAAATATTTATAAACTCATATATATGTGTGTCTATGCATGTGTGTATATATGTGTGTTTATATATGTGGTGCTTTCTACAAACACACATGCTATTTTTATCATACAAACCTGACTTTTATTTTAGAAATGTACTGTGTGTTCATTAAGATAAATTTGTTTTTATATAAAACTACAGTGACAATCGTCCCATCCTTTTTCCTCTTCTCAGCAAATGATTTAGGACTCTGACACCATTTACATTTTTTGAAAAAACACTTATCTGCGAGCCTCTTGTTTGCTGAACCCCCAACTCCATTGTCTGTAAGCTAAATAAATGCTACTGTATATTGCTTGTATGTTTTCTGGGTTAGAAACAAGTGAATTGAAACAACTGAAGCTCTTCTATTGCATTATAGTCTCATGTTTTTATTTTTTAAACTGTTGCTCTTCCAGGGAATCATCTACTACGTCACCACATCCCCCAAGCTGGAGGAGTGGTTAGCTAACGAGACGATGCAGGAGGGACTGCGCTTGTGCACTGACCGCAACTACGTTGATGTCGACCCAACGTTTAATCCCAACATTGATGAGGATTACGACCACCGGCTGGCAGGGATCTCAAGAGAGAGTTTCTGTGTGATTTACCTGAACTGGATAGAGTACTGCTGCTCACGGAGAGAAAAGGTAGGTATGATCATGTGAGAAAAGCTATTCAGTCTTCTAGGATGGTGTTGCATGTTTTTCTTGTTGATTGACTTGCAGGTTTCTTTAGTATTGACTTGTAAATAAAAAATTTATAATCAAACACTAGTTTGTAGTATGCTGGGTTTGATTTTTCTTTTTTTCCTGCAGTCTTGAGACTTCCATTTAAATAACTAACAAAGTAATGTATGATGTAACCTGTTTAATAATGCATTTTCACATAAATCAGTTTAGTGCTAATTAGGCATTTAGGACATTTATCTGCCTAAAGAAAGATGTCTTTTCAGAACTGTTATTTGCTTAGTTATTTATTTTTTACAAGTTAACTCTAATTATTCTTAAAAAAAAACTGTCTTCAGCTTGTATAAAACAGATTTCTTGTTTAGTTTTCACACCATGCCTCTCTTTTGGATCACTGGAGCTGGTGGCATGTGATAGTGACCATTTCATAACCAACCCTTTTCCTCTCTAGATTCTCCTCCTTTATAGAAAGGATTATGAGAATGTAGAGGACTGCTTGACTTCTTGCTGCTTACCAGAAATCATAGCTATTGTAGCCTTCTGAGAATGCGCAAGAACTGAATTTAAAAGGAAAGGGATAAAGTTTGTTTTCTTAAATTTATTGAAGGATTTGAGACTTCAGAATGTTGGTTTAGTCTGGAGTGAAAAGCTTAGCTTGTTTAAATGGTTATAAGATTTAAAAAAAAAAAAAAAGCTTTCCACAGACAAACAGCAGCCAAAGATCAAAGATAATCATCTCACTCTAAGCGACTGTCTTGTGAAATATGTTGTGTAAGTAGTGAAAATTTGATTTCATCACTCAGATGCACGATCTGTTATCTAGAGCATAATGTACCATTACACATGAGTTCAACTGAGAGTGAGTTTCCACTAAGTAAAGTTATAATCTACAGAAGTTTTCAATTAATCTAGTTATACACTCCTGACTGAAGTGAGAATCCCTTTTATTCACTAGAAGTATTTTCATCTTAAAAAAAAAAAAATCATCTTTTTAGAAAAACTACTTGTGTGCAAGGTAAACGGTATGCATGAAGAATGCCTGTGCATTTGTACAGCTTACAATTTATTTCAAACCCAGCTTGATGTGGGTGTCGAACATACACTTTTATAATTTTTAAATAATTCCTAATGACTCTCGGAGCGGAAATACCTGGTCTGGTAGGTACATGTGCACACTTAAATTTGTGTGCTTTGTGTCTGTTGGGGTTTTTGTCCTGGCAAAAATTACTTTTCTTCTGTAGTGAGGAATATGCATATTCTTATATTATGTATATTTTTAAACTCTATTCACCTGACTGTTCTTCACTCCTACCCTCACCCCTTTTTTTCTCTTTGTTACTACAAGCCACTGGATTCCAGTAAAGACTCATCCCTGGTGACGCTGTGTTATGGACTGTGTGTTCTAGGTCGCAGAGCATTGGGGACAGCTTCCCATCATATGTCTAGGTAATAAAATGTTGTTGTATGCTCCCCTTCTCCAGATCTCTAAGGGCACCAAGGTAGGGTATGGATGAATTCATCTTAAAAAAATAAATAAATAAAACCCTTAAGCTAGGCTCATTACAAGAGCTAGAGAACTTCATCTAAGGAATAGAAATGAAGGAGAACTTGAATGTGAGCATTTTGTTACATTGAACTAATGAAAAATGAGAACCCTGCTATGGGTAAGCATCAGCAATAATTGATGAAAAGCTAAATGGATTGAATTCAGAAAGAAAACTATTTCTTGCTCTGAGCATGAACCCTGTGTGCAAATACAGGGAAGAGAGAGGACAACCTGTTAAAATGGAAGCACATCTTGATGGCAGTTAGGACTAGGACTTCTAAGTTACACAACTCAGCTGGTCTGTGGCGAGCAGTCTTGCTTCACAGCTCTTGAACTCTATATGAGTTCTAATATGAGCTCTGCCATCATATTCCCACCTCTGCCTTGCGTGCTCACAGCCCCAGCTGACTTTAGAAAGCCACTGTTAAAAAGTGGCTGTATGCTTGAGGAAGTCATGAGGTAAAGATGTAAAAGCAGAAATAAAATCACATGTGGAAGCTATTGCTCAGCTGTATGCCAGCTGCAAAACCTTTCTTTCAGGGAAATTGATTCCTGTAAGTGCTGCCAGCTTGTTGCCCCGTAAAGATTTTGCTGGTATACAAGCAAGCAATCAAATTCTATTTCAATGTCAGTGGGAACGTTAAGTTAGCCTAGTAAAAGGAAATAATGATACCAAGAATGAGAAAGATGGCAGGATTTTCATTCTGTGGCAATGCATCCACAACAGAGGCTGAATTTCCTTCTTAATTTGTCTGTAGTGCTACAGTCCCTGAGAAGGTTTCTCTTCCATAGTCTCAGAAAATCAGGAACTTTGTGACAAATGCCTGTTTACTTAAGTCCATGTAAATAAATTAGGTCTGTTGCGTATAAGGCTTACTCATCAGATGTTTAATGCACTTAAGCATTTAGAGTCTGGCTTTGTTTCACATGTGCTTGCTCGTATGTTTGTTCTCCTGCTGTCCTCCTTTAAATTGCCTTTGTAGAGAAGAACTGTGTGCCTTCCCTTGCAGTTTAGGGTTAGTGTAAACTTAAAATTTTCAGCTGTTGACAAAGATGATAGGTAATTGTGAAAGTGTTTGTGCATTTGTATTCAAGTTTGGGGTGTGCAATGTATTTTTCTCTTCAACAGTAATCTGGAATCCTTCTTGTATGGCCTGCATGCCTTATTTAAGGGTGATTTCCGAATATCTTCGATTAGAGATGAGTGGATCTTTGCTGACATGGAACTACTAAGGAAAGTGGTGGTTCCTGGAATACGCATGTCGCTTAAACTGCATCAGGTAAGACATTGACTGGAGGTTGCCTCCAGTTCTTGTTGTTTGTTCTTTGTGTTGAAAGATGAAGTGTTGGAAGTGAAACACTTGAGAGACAGTTCTTTCCACCTGTCTTGGATGAATTTCTTCGCCCACACCATGTCCAGAACAAGATTTATAGGTAGAGGAAATGCTGTATCAGTCAACTAGAGTAATTGAAAAGATTATCCCAGCTTTTCACTTCATGTTTCTCAGGTCTGGGAAGGAAGTTGCCTATTTCAATTTAAAATGCAAGATACAAATAATTCTTCAAACTTCAGTGAAATGTATGAAGCTATTTGGAGATGAGGGAGAGTAGTTGGTACTTGTAGAAGGGATATGAATGAGGGCGATAACAATGGTGTGTTCGTTACTTCTGAGTAGAAATGCACAGAGAGAAGCAATTTAGACCTTTTGACTGTCACTCGTTGGGTTGGTGCGGTAGGACAGACTACTGTATCCTTTAAAACCTTTCTTTCTTTCTTTCTCCCAAATGCTGCCTAGTCTACAGGTGGCAAACACGTTTCCTTTTTTAAGTAAATCTAACTACTACCTAAACTCTGAGCCATACTTTACATTTCTATTTTATACCCAAAGGTCTTGTGTGCTCAAAATATTGTCTGAGTTTACCAGTCATACCAGTCGCTCATGAGGCAGGCAGCCAGCAAGCCTCGTCTTGCCTACATGTCGCACCTCACCTCTGAGGCATCTGGTTCAGACTTCAAAGGAGAACAGGGAGATAACACTTGGGAAAACAAGAACATAACAGAAAGAGGAAGGGCATGCAACAGAAATGGATGTTTAAAAATAAACAAAAGGGCAGGGAGGGGCAGAGGAGGACAAAAATTGTCTATTGCCTTATGTTCTATTATAGCTCATTTGTAGGAGAAAGGGTCATCGACTTTATGTCCAGGGCCTGTAAACGTCATCAAATGTAGAACAGCAGAAGATAGTCAAACCCTGTTTTGTATTCTAGAAGGGGTTTCCTTGTAGTCTTCCTAATCCTTATTCTTCCTGCCCTACCCCGTATGTTTATAGTTGGCGTAAAAGGGCATCAAGCCATTTAAAGCTGTACAATGCTGTCCGGTTGTGCAGTGGGAGTTGTTGTTTTTCATTGTGCAACACTGGAAAGAAAATGGATACCTGAGCGTGACTCACTTATCTCCTCAGTCAAGTTCCAGTGGAGAGTGAGGAGCTTGCAGTTCAGAAAGCAAAAACAGGACTTGGTCTTTTCGGTGAAGTTAGGGTGAAGATGAGCAAGCTCAAATTCTGTCCAGGGAGTCTATTTACTAAATTGAGTAAGTTCAAGGAACTGTGTAGTGAGCAATAAGCTTCTTGGGAGGAGAAAGTGCTATACTCCAGAAGAACAGATGGCTTGAAAATTGTTAAAACTAGGTAAATCCAAGAGCTATATTAACGTATCTTATGTTAGAATGCATGTAATTGCTAGCAGTATAGAGTTAATCAGAATGTTCTGTGACTAAGTTTAATTCATACTCAACTAACAAGTTTAGGTTCCGCTAAAATATCTCATGCAACAGATATTCAGTACTAATTTGCATTTTTAATAGAAAATATTGATAAATTATCTGTGTTTTTTACTAAAATTGTTATGGTTATTAGAAATAACTATAGGAGCTATATAACTCGGTGAGTACTAATACTTTGGTTAAATGTGTTATAACAGAGAAGCTAAAAACAGAATCTGTAGGTAAGTGAATAGATATAAAAGTAGTGTAAAACTGAAACAAAAGTTTCAGTTAGTAATAAGTAGATTCTTTCAATCCATTCCTACTTAAGTTAAAAAGGAAATGAATCCTAGCAAACAAGTATGCATCTGTTGGGTAAGAATTCACCTTTAATTCTTTTTCTTTGTAGACATTTGTTGAGGTCTAATTTTGTGCAGTGTGATGACCTCATCATGTGATTGAGGTGCAAGATATTTACTTTCTATATATGGCTAACATTTGAAATGGTTCCTCTTTTTTTTCTGCTTCCTTCTTGGAAACAGGATCACTTTACTTCTCCAGATGAATATGACGACCCGTCTGTCCTCTATGAAGCCATAACAACCCATGAAGAAAACCTGGTTATAGCACACGAAGGGGACCCTGCGTGGCGCAGCGCTGTTCTCTCGAATTCTCCTTCTCTCCTCGCTCTGCGTCACGTCATGGATGATGGCACCAATGAGTATAAGATCATCATGCTCAACAAACGCTATCTCAGTTTCAGGGTCATTAAGGTAAGCTTTATAGAGACCTCCCATAACATGGGGTGTTATATATTGTAATAATAACAATGACAGTTAACTTTTTGTTACTAATTCCATTACTAATTTCATGGAGAAATGTAGAAGTGTTTTTGTCAGAAAATTAAAACCTACTTTTAAATATCTCTTTTCCTCATGCAGTCCTTAGAGTTGCTTTACTTTCACTGTGACCTTTCAGAACAGTGAACACACATGGTTGTAGGTCTGCAGTGCAGAGGCCTATTTATAGCAAAGCAGCCTTTGCAGGCTCTCGTTGCTTCACTTTCTGACACAGTCTTTCCACTTGGCTCCTGCCTGTCATTTTTTGCAGGTGAATAAGGAATGTGTGCGTGGCCTGTGGGCAGGACAACAGCAGGAGCTCGTCTTTCTGCGTAATCGTAATCCAGAAAGAGGGAGTATCCAAAATGCGAAACAAGCCCTAAGGAACATGATCAACTCCTCTTGTGACCAGCCCATTGGATACCCCATCTATGTGTCACCTTTGACTACTTCCTACTCGGACAGTCACGAGCAGCTTAAGGAGATTCTTGGCGGAGCTATCAGCTTAGGGAATATCAGAAACTTCATAGTGTCCACCTGGCACAGGTGAGCAGTGGAGATGAGTTCCCATTAGTATGTGGCCACGCTTTGTACTTCATTTCTGCTGGCTCTACTGAAAATATTCAGTAATAGAAGAATAAATATGGCTTGACTCTTATTTCGGGCGTGTCTATAGCATATGGCAACTTTTGTGGCACAGGAGTTAATCCTTGAGCATATAAAAAGCCATGAACTGTAAATGACAGCTCAGAAGAAAATAGAGTACAAAGTCTAGATGCAAAAATGTCAGGTCTGCTAATGAGAGGCAATACAACCTCTCATTTTTCAGTGCTTGTGTTTTTCCCAGATGTAATATCAGCCTTGCAGTATCAGGACTATTCATGAGGGTTCTAGTCTGGTTACCACTTGGCATGCATGTGCCAACATTAATATTGTTACAGTATGCTAATGCATAGTTACTCAAGCTTTAGTTGTTCAGAATTGCATAAGGGCTTATAAATGCCCTGTATCTTAGAGCCAGAAAAAGTAACAGCAGCAAACGTACGTCCTCCTCCCATACAAACCTTCAGTAACCCAGAATAAACTTTTATTCTGGTTGTGTTTTACAGCCCATGAGATTTTTTTCTTCTCATGTGGCCCCTTATGACTTTGGCCTTGCAAGCAGCAATGACAGTTGTGTGACATATTTGGAAATGGGTGTCCCAGTTCTTAGCAGTTTCTGGAGCTAGTGTCATGGTCATAACTCTGCTATTGCTGTTATGTTTATACCTAAATATCCATAGGATATCAAAACAGAACATGCTACTTCTCCCCAAAACGTGCTATGATTGCTCCAGTGTGTGTGCCATATCTCTTCTATCACCCTGTGCTTGTCTGATGTGCACAGAATGAAGGTAAGGGCATAACCCAGAGCAGTGAGGCACAGCCAGTGAGACACATCCAAAGAGTTCTCAGTTGCAGAGGAAGACAAAGTTGGGAAGAGTTACTCAGTGTATTCAAGGGGGATTGATGGAAAGAAAAATAAATAACAATAAATAATAATAAAATAAATAATTTTTGAGTCTAGTTGAATTTTGTTTTTGCAAGCCCAGTAAAAGGCCTCTGTGGTTATACACTCTGTAAAAATGTTAACTTGGTACCAGAATATTCAAATTTCATATGAGAATGTGATTCAGAATTGCAGCAGGTGATATGCGCTTCAAAAAGCTGAGCGTGTTACAAAATATAGCAAGAAAACATATAGTAGAAGTCTTCCTGTGCTTATCTAAATTAAAGATTCTTTTAGGTACGAGAGCAGCTGTATGGATGGTATCATAGGAAGAGTAAAATCTTTATTAATACTGTTACCAAATAACCAGCACATTCATGCAACATTCTGCATGTAGAGTTTTATTGTTTCTTCGTATTTCAAGAGGAGATGAATTTTTGGAAAAAAGGCATTTGTGTATGAAGACTTGGCATGTCGTAAATCATTTGAAGAGCTATCAGGAAGAGAGTGGTCATCTCCCACAGTGCCACCTTTAAATTGACTGATTGTGTTCTTAGAAAACAGAATCTAGTTTTACCTGATTTTTATGGACTGTTACAGACTGAGTGAAGCCTTTTGGTTTGTCATTTTAAGGCATTTAGAAGTCGCCATAAGGAATCCTGATTTTGTCAATTACCTTGTGTTTTCAGACTAAGGAAGGGGTGTGGAGCTGGCTGCAATAGTGGTGGAAATATTGAAGATTCAGATGCTGGAGGTGGCACTTCTTGCACAAGCAACAATCCAACTATCAATGAGTCGCAGAGCAGCATGTCGCAAGGAGGAGGAATTGCAACTACAGGGCAGGGTCCTGGAGCAGTGCAGCACCCTCCTGTCACAACTCATCCCACAGCTCATTCTGCAACTCATCCTCCAGCTCACCCCTCAACTCTGGGTAAAGTTCAAGCAAAGTGACCTTTATGCAAGTACAGTCCTATAGGCAGAACTAGCCTTTCAGCTGTGTAGTAGGTCGAGGCTATGAGCAAAAAATTAACTTGATTATATAGTATAAACAGCTACTGGATACATAACTCAAAGTACAATGTGGTTTCATGCAATAACAGGGTCCCAAACAGAGATTAGAGCACCAGGCTGTGGTTAGGCTAGCAAAATACAGGAAATAACTTTCTAAAAATACTTTTTTACATGACTGACTTTTTTTTTTGACTTGTGCTTTCATTTTTGTTTGTGAACACTGATATTGCCTTTTGTTGCAAATACCTTTGCATTACTTCTTTATACATTGGAATGGATTGTCTGCTTCTACGATATTTTAGCTGAATCCTATCAAGGTTGCAGCTACTGATCTGCAGGTGACAAGCAACAAGGCTGAGCTGATGTGCGTCCCAAAGGAAGTGTCTTTAGGTCCTTAGATACGGAGGTGCTTAGAATAGAAAAGATAATGACACTAATCCTCCTAAAAGGTGCAATTTTTGTTTTCTGCTTTCAAGTCCATTAAACAGGTTTTCTGACCCAGTCCTTGAGCATACAGTCAAGTATAATAAGAAAGAATATTTAGTGTTTTGAAACATGGACACTTAGGTCAGTTGTAGTATCTTCAGTGTTTGTGTTCAGGGCCAGACTGTGTGTGATAAGAGCAAGGCTGAAACGTTTTTCAAGCCATTTGCGTGGTTGGAATTGTAGGTAAGAGTAACAATTTGAGATGCGATGAATTGAACACTCAGGTGCTTCACTGCTACGAAGTGCAGCAGATCTCTGCTCTGCTGCTGTTCCAGATGATTTCGGAAGATCCATGCATTTTGTATCTGCATGCTGAAGGGTTGTGTGTAGCAAATGTGACGTGCGTGGGAGGCTTTATGAAACTCCACTGATTCTGTACATCCTCTTCTCAGGCACCAGCCACAGCTCTCACTCGGTGCAGTCGAGCCTCGTGAGACATTCCCCTGCGCGCGCATCGGTCGCCAGCCATTCGTCCTACTGCTACGGCAGCCGCCACTCGTCGCTGCGCACGTCGGCCACGGGCTTCGTGCCCTGCCGCCGCTCCTCCACCAGTCAGATCTCCCTGCGCAACCTCCCGTCCTCCATCCAGACCCGCCTCTCCATGGTGAACCAAATGGATGCTGCAGGGCAGCCTGGGGGCAGCGTGCAGCACGGCCTACCTTCTTCCAGCAGCTCCAGCCAAAGCATCCCGGCCTGCAAGCAGCACGCCCTCGCCGGCCTCCTCGGCACGGAAGGAGGCAATAACGGCGCGGAAGGACAGCCAGGTGCTAACGCAAGCCCTGCGAATCAAATGCAAGCCAGGAAGGATGAAGTTATTTACAGAATCCAGGTGAACAGTCCAGAAGAACAAATTAACTCGTGGTTCTTTAGCTGTGTGCTTTTGTTACTGTTATCTCTTACCTTGTGGGAATTGCCACTTCTGAATATATGCATGGTCTGGAACGCCTTAGCATGCAACTGTTGCGCGGTTAGGTTTGGAAAGCCTACGTAAGCATAAGCTTTTGTGAACAAGCAGCCTTCTGGCATGCTGAGACATGCCTAATTGCTTCTCTTACATGTATATCCATAGTGTAGGTTGGGGAGTGTCAGCTGAAATCTATTCAGTTTCACACTTCAGCTGTTTTGCTTGTAGTCTCAGTCTTCATGACAACATGTAAAGCTGAACAGCTTCATTTACAGCAAGTGTCTCTTTTTTTCTAGGCTGAATATTTTTTCCACATACGTACCTATAAAATGTATTTCCTCTTTGGTTATTGCCACAAGTTTGGATCACAGAGCAGCTCATGGTACACCCTTGACTGAGTTAATTATGGCAGCCTTACTAATTTTGTGGAATTCTGCCTGTGTTCTTGCCTGACTAGCGTTCAGTAGGGCCACATACGTGTCTTTAGTAGTATATTAATAAGAAACACCAAGAAGTAGTTACTAGGACAGGTCATGGTGAACTTGATTTCATTGCAGACATCACCTCATTTTAAAGGAAACCAGGTTTTAATCATAGTGAGAAAAGCTGACAGATTTGGCAAGTCTGAGCTTTAGCAGCTTTTGCTTGAAGACAGGGGCCCTCCTAAGCAGTTTAATTCCCATGTGTAAGGAGAATGCACACAAATTCAACATACAACCTTGAGCAGTGGATATTGCACAGTTCTTTCTGTCCTTCTGTGAGAAGACTATAGGATTGTTCTCCTGTTAGCCTTTTCCAAATGTGGAAACGCCAGTTTACTTGAAAGTATAGGGTGCATCTGAACTAACCATGTTAATGGTAAATAGTTTCTTGGCCTGCTAGTGAGTATTCCAAGCTGTTGAGCTGCAGGATGTCATTCTGAGAAGCAGTGATCCAGTTCTGGCAGCCTGTCATCACTGAACTGTTTCCCTCCTGTTGGGGCACATGCTGCTGCTTGTCTTGTGCCAGCTCCTCACTCCTCCGTGAGCTCCTGGAGCTGCATGAGGGGGTGGAAGAAGAAACTAGAGCTGCTTCTTCAGACTGCATTGAGCTAGTATGTTGTTAGGTGCCTCTGAAACCACAGTCAGAACTTCCAAATTCTGTGCTGCTCAAGCTTTTCTGTAATCTAGAACTTAAATATGCAACACTGAGATGAGTGAAACCGATTTCTGTGGGATTTTGAGGTCAGTTCTCCAGCAGTATGTAGCAGGATAGCTTTTCTCTTGGATTTTGGATGAACTAATGGCCAAAACTCAATTTCTCATTATAATCATAGATAATGGACCCTACTCAAGTACTGGAAGGGATCAACATGTCAAAAAGGAAAGAGCTGCAGTGGCCAGATGAGGTGATACGGTTAAAAGCTGGAAGAAACAGCTGGAAAGACTGGAGTCCTCAGGAAGGCATGGAAGGCCATGTAAGTTTCCCTTAGAACCTGACACTAATCTTTTTAAGGAGGAAAAAAAAAAGTGTAGGGGAGGGACCAGGGCCAGGACCGTATAATCTCTTTGCTGTTCATTAGACTCACCTAGATGTGAAGTCTGAGGATAGATTTAGTAGCAGGCTGGCTCGGCTCCTCTCCTCAGCTACTGTTGTTGGAGGAGCAAGTCTAAGATCCCAGTTTTGATCAGAAGGCTATTTCTGTAGTGGTATCCAAAAGATGCAGGATGATTCACATGTTTTCAGCTCCTCTTTGTACATGCCTTCTTCCTACTCCTCTCACATATTCATCTTGGGCACTGTGCTTACTCATTCAGCCTTCATTTTCCTTTCCTTGAGATGTCAGTCTTTGAGCAAATGCTCAAGGAAAGGAAATTTAGCGCTCCTGTGCAGATTGCTGCATGTTCTTTGGCTTGTGGCCTTTTATGGGATCAGTTGCTGCTGCTGCTAATGCAGAAGGTGAAACTGAGACTGGAACAATGGTCGGTCGCAGTGACTTGCACTCAGTGCAGCACGTGCATATGTACAACTGGATGTTAAGGAATCCCCATACTGATGTCTTTGAACTAAGGCATTAGCTTAAAGGCACCAGTTTTAAGTTGGTCTAGAAGGATAATACTTGGACTTTACTGGGAAATGCTGTGGATGCAATGTGCCTGTCCTCACTCTGTACAACCTAAAGTTTGTTTTGACAGGTTTTGATGAAACCTCCCTTGAAAGGACTGTTCAAATAACTGCATTTTTGCATCGGGCAGGGGGAGGCTAAGGATACTGTGCTTCTGCGAGCAAAATACTCTCCCCAGGGATGCAGCACAGAGCTTGTGTTGCATCAGCCTGAGTGTTGTAACTCCGTGCTAGAGAAACCTTCAGCTTATCAGCTGGGTGCAGTGATGATTAGGGGTGTCCCTTGCATTTTGTTTTAAATGATGTAGATGACTTAGTTCTCTCTCTCTCTCTCTCTCTCTCTCTCTCTCTCTCTCTCTCTCTCTCTCTCTCTCTCTCTCTCTCACCTGTCTGTCTTAGAAATCTTAAAGTATGTTGGGGCTTGGATTACGTAAATATTTTTATTTGCTTTTCCACCTTACTTTGACTTGAATTTAGCGTTCTCTTTCTCTTCCTTCAGCGGGTTGTTAGAGACCGTTCTGTTCCTGTGGAGGTGGCAATATCTAAAGCCATATTGTTGGACCATTCCTGTTGTCCCACAAGCTAAAGGGCAGGGAGGGTTTTGTTTGTTTTATGCAGGGAGCTGAGCAGACAGTTGATCGTACAAAGACCTGGATGCAAAGGGTTTGCCAATATCAGGATGGCCAGTATCAGGAGGGATTCTTGGAAACAGCAGAGGAAAATATGACTGTTGCTAGGTCCAAAGGTGCATGTGATAGCAGTTTATAACAGTGTTTCTGAAATCCTTCCTTTTTGTAATAAAGGTCCTTTTAAATCAGAATAGTTAAGTAATTGAATTTAAATAGTATCCTTGAATTCAAAGCAAGCAGGAAACAAAATTAAGTCAAACTGTTGATGCAGGGAAGTTTTACACCAACTGCTGTTAATGAAGTAGAAAGAAGTGGCTAAGACTGCAGCTTTTTTTTATTATTGCTCTCTTTGCCCTGCAAAGGTCCTGAATTATCAGAGACAAGTAAGAAATGGCAGCTCTGCCCCTGGAACTCACGTTTTATTCTGCTTGATTTTTGCAGGTGATTCACCGCTGGGTGCCTTGCAGCAGAGATCCAAGTAGTCGGTCCCACATAGATAAAACCATCTTGCTGGTTCAGATTGAAGATAAATATGTTGCTGTTGTCGAAACTGGAGTCCTCGAACTTGGGGCTGAAGTGTGAATCTCTGTGACAGTTAAAATTCCCCTTCTCTGAAGAGAGGAGGGGCCACAAGCAGCAGCTCCCAGGGCATGAAACTTGGGTCTAGTTGTAGGAAAGGACTTGAAACACAGATTTGTTAAGTCCCTTGCCCCAAATACACAAGTGTAAGAAATTTTTAAGTTGTTAGCTGCTGAAGAAACATTTGCATGAAGGATAGATTTGTTGAGACATATCTTGTTTATAAATTTTGTTTATGCATTGCGTAATGCTTTAAATCAACAAACTTTTCAGTTCTAAGATCAGAGCACCTCATATTTTTCTAATTGTTTTGCCAAAAATTGCCATGTCTTGTCACAGAGTACGTGGAATTTGTTCACCTTATTTTAAAGAAATTGAGTAACGTACAAACCTTCAGTTTGAAACATAATATAGAGGTTTCATGCGTGGCAAGAAGAGACTGAACAGATGTATAGATTCTTACTCCTTATGAGCTAAAACATTGAGAACTGCACTAATTTTTTTACAGCAATGCACTAAAAAAAAAACACCCCTGAGATTGCTGAGAACATTTATTTATATATATAAATATAAATATATAAAATACCATTATTTAAATTGCCTTTGGGATTAATCCCCTCCCTTTCAATATACACGTTGATGGTAAGGGCTGTGCCATGGGTTTGGTTCAACAATCTGTATTTCGTACAAGTGCATTTGCTGCATCTTCTTCACAATAAATGGTAAAATAACAACCGTCTAGAAACGTACCTGAGTATCCCTGGACTACCTGAGATTTTTACTGCGGTGGCAGTGGTACATTAAGTCTGTACAACACAACACATCTAGCTTTAAATTGGACCCCAATATACTCTTTAATCTGTCCTCCACTAGCTGGCCGCGGCTCCTTTACTACTTTATACCCCGAGCTGGTTATGTTACTTTGCTGGCTCTTCTCTGGCAGAGAGTTATTTTTGTGGTTGTTTTCTTAATGGAGAAGGGCAGGTCCGTTGTTTCATGGATTCTTGAAGTTTTTTGATTCCATCCATTAAAAATTAAAAAAAAAAAAAAAAAAAGACTTTATCTTTTAAAAAGCTTTTATAGAAGGCACAGCCCTAAACTTGTATCACTTTTACCACCTTGCCTTTTCTTTCCCTTTAGTCTTCATTCTTTTCTATGACTTGAATTTTATTTTCAATTATTATATATTCTATGTAAGTGTAATTTGAGTATTTATAACTGTGAAGTTGAATTATTCATGTGTTACATATCCTAGGTTTTATTGTATTTTTTAAAATGTGTGTATTCAGGGAAACAACTCAGAACTATCATGGGAGTGTGAGAGGGAACCTGCGGTTTGTTTTTTTGACTTGCAGCTCCTATGAATCACTTCTCTTAATCCATAAGAAAGAAAGAAAAGAAAGAAAAAAAGTCCCTGTTGTGATTGTTTCCTGTTTCAGACCTGTAATAACGTAGGACTTTGTGGGAACCTGCTCGCAGTCCTAGCCTTTGGGAGCAGCCATCTTCTTCCAGGTCACTTCCACCTCTTCCGAAATGATGTAACCAGGAGACACGTCTGGTAACGTCACCAAGATCGAGATCTTCTCTGGCGTCAGAGAAACCTTGTTCGTTGTATACCTAATGTAAGAGTGAAATTAAGCGGGGTGAGAGAAAATGCAGGGAGAAATAGCTAAAAATGATATTTTGACTCAAGTCACTGTATGCTTTCTAGCCATGAGAGGATGAATTCTCCATGCCTGGTAGCTCGTCAGTTGGCTAACATTGGTCCCAGGGTATTGTACTGGGGCCTTGCTTACATGAGACTTTGCAAAGCTTGTACTCCCATCTGTGCATTTTACTTTTCTCTTTATGCACATGCAGTCATATTTAATCTTGGTATAAATGTACGGTTCTGGATCTGCCACCACGGAAGTAATTTTGCTGTTCCACATAGTTTATGAGAATTCATCTCTTGCATCTCTGAAACGTAGCACAATAGATGGACCTTTCTTCAGCACTCTTGTAACTTGGTTTTCAGGAGCAAAGAGAAGGTGTGTGTGTGTTGGAATTGAAGCCATTTTAATTGAGGTTTTGTTCTGTGTACTTCCCTCCAGATATTTAAAGGGTATTGTGTACAACTAGGGATATTGCCCCATACAGATTCTTTAAAAAATTATTTTGGAAGTAGGCTCTTGTTTTTATACTAATTTCAGAGTTGTTTTTCTGTATTGAAAAGAAATTGAAGTTATATCTGGAGGTAGAAGACTGGCAGGGGGAGGAAAGGTATGTCAAGTTGTTTAAAACTTGATTGAGGCAACACTGTCTATTTTAATGATGACTTTGAACAATCTTTTTTACTCTTTAAGGCAGAATAGTGGCAATGTCCATTGGCAGAGTATGTGGTAGGAATCAGTAACCTGCTAACATTGCTTTTTTTTTTTCTCTTAATTGCCTGGAATCAAATTAGGAAACAGTAGATGAGAGAAAAAGAGAAAGACCTTTCTGAAGAGGTGAGGAGAGTTGATGACTTCTTGTTCCTTTTTTTCCTTAAGATTTCCAGTGTGCTGCCATGAGGAGATGGATCACAATGTGAACAGCTAACAGGTTAATAGCTTTTCAGATATCCAGCAAACCCTTGTTACAAAACCATTCAAATAGTTTTTTTGCCTAATCCAGATCCACTCAACTGAAACAACCTAGTTGCAATTTCACTCTTCCATAAGGTTTTGCAAACACCTTTTTTTACAATTTTCCCTTATTCTGAACTCTTGATTAATATATAAATGCGTGCTGATTTGTGTGAAGTTAATTTCTTCATTCCCCTGTAAAAGTGTCAAAACCTATCAGGTATCTTTTTCTAACTCCCCTCAGGATAGGCTTGTCCATGGAAGACTATTCCAGATGGACATAAGTTTATTTTTATTCTGTTCTCTCTGGCTGTAGTCTTGATTTTCTTCTGTTTTGAGTATAGAACGGGTAGTTCTTTCCAGATTAGTGACTTGTCAGTCTAGACAGGCCTCAGCCTAGAGTGCTTAGATCTTTCCAAACTTCCATGAAAACCCTTTCTAGAAGTGTGCTTTAACTCTGTGCACTCATCTGATGTGATGATGATGATGATGTTCTGCCAGACCAACATTCCAGTTCTTGTGTTCTAGTCTCCAGGTAGGTCCCCATCTGTTGTTTCCCTCAGATTTCTTTAAAGGTGGTATCTGTAGATACATGCATAAAGACTTACTGCTCCACTGAAATAATTACAGAGAAATGCTTAACGCTGCTAAGCAGGTTATGTTGATCAGTAAAATGGTTGTTAATTATTTAAAAAAAAAAAAAAAAAAGCTTTTTCCCACTTCACTTGCCTGTGAGATCTTTTTAAATGTTCTCATTTTTCTTGACCTAACACCTGTATGTGACACTGCTGATGACAGCTAGAATTGAGATGCCCTTTTGCCACAGGGTGGCTGTGGAGCAATGAGTTCTGGGCATCTCTGTTGTGATTCAGCATTTGTGATGTGACTTCAGCGTGGGGAGGGCTTGTTGTGCGGGTGGGACTTCAGTTGGTTGGGATTTTTTGGCAATCCCATTCTAGGGTGAATGTCCCATGGCTGTTTTTCCCGGGACAGTTGCACTCTTCTTAGGCATTGACCTCAGTTTTCCTATGAGCTGTGTAGCTCAGGGCCAGGTGTTCTCACCCTGCATACGCAGCCCCTTTGTGAAATGAACACTTAAGACCAGCCTAGATGACGGATGAGATGGAAGGTGAAAGCAGTTGGTTGTCTGCAAAGAAAGCTTGATCCCACGTGGGATGGTGGCAGGAGAAGAGAGGCCTCCCAGTCAGATCCGATGTCAGTCAAATCCAATGTCGTCTCACCTCACTGATAAGACACACACCACCGTACGACCCAGGCATGTAGACACAAAAACGTTCCTTTAAAGATCTTGCTCAGTTACAGGACTTCTCATTCACAAAATGGAGCAGGATAGATTGCATTTCTTACTATTAATATTATTCAAACTATGTAACTTAGGTTGGATTTGGGGTTATACCACCACAGGTTTTATGTACTTAATTTTATTAAGGAATCTTATACCTATTATATAGGCATCTACTTTTTTTTGTCTGGCTTCGTATTTGATAACTTAATGCAGTACGTTCAGTGAAGCTGGAGAAATTATACTGGTTAATTACCAGTGCCTTAGTAAAAGAGTGGGTACATAACACTTTGGTGGGAAGTAAAGCATGTGGCTCGTTTCACCCCAGCATGATACGCGTATTTCCAGACAGGTGATTGCAGATGGCTGCTCCAAAAGATTTCAGGAGTATACATGCACCACTCACAATCACAAACAGCGGAATAGGAGCAATTTTTATGACTTCTGGTATGTACAGTTTGAATAGATAACCCCAGTACATTTAATCCACAACTCTGAAAGATGGAAAATCAAATAGCTGGACATGTTAACTTGTTACATAAAGACCCCAAGAAAGCCTGACACCAAGCTCTGGATTAGGAAGTGGAGGAAGGCAGGAGTAGAGCCATAAATGAACGCGGATGGCTCTGCTTTTAATGGACAATGAAAATATGTATTGCCTCTACCAGCAAACGGATTCCTTGCCAGGGATAGGAATATGTGTACCTGCGTGTCTGTGAGTGTGTATGTGTCTGCGTGTGTTACAGAAACAGCCTGTAAATATTGTAGCTGTTTAAAAGGAAAAGGCTGAGGGTTTTTTTGCAACATGTTGCAGCAAAAGGACAGTATTGACAGTGAAGAAACACTGAGAAATAAAATATTAAAAAAAAAAACAAGTTTCACTTGTCATTCATTGCAATTCCACTTCACATACCCTCAGCTGTTACTCCCTGAGATTGTCTGTGAGCACTATTTAAGTTGACTCTGATCAAATCACTTTTTAATGAAGGATTTTACTTTAACATGATTTTTTTAATGCTGTTGTAGAAACTTTTTTACCCCTGAGATACTGCTGTTTGTCTCTGCCAGCAGTAGGATCTCAGTTGCTTACACTTTCATATAAACACTGTGCAGGAGTTCGCCCCCCTTTCTGCAATCAGTGTTATTTCAAATGCTTTCTGCATTGTCACAGCTCAATTAGCAGTTTTGGGTGCAATTCTCCAACCCCTTTCTCAAAGCTGAGGCTACTCTTCTGCTGTGTTTACGTGCAGCAATTCTCCATTCTTCCCACTTTGCAGGAAAATACTTTGCCCTGTGTAGTTAATGAGTGATTTCTAACTTTGTGCTGCCCTTGAGCCAAGTGCAGCCTGGGGGTGACTCCGGGTGCCTGCTCAGGGCTTCCCTCATTGATAGTGCTGTTAACTCTGTATCTCACCTGTCTTGTCCCTCTATGCTTAGAAGGATTGGGATTTCTTAAACATTTTAGTATATTTATATAAATGTATAAACATTATGTATGTGTTTGGAAGAGCAAACCCTGGGGGCTGGGCTTTGTTTTATTTTTCCTTCAAGTGACAGGAGGGGAAGGAAAGGTCTCTGTCAGCGCTAGGTGCTTAGGGTGCCGGGTGGCCGTGAGGGCAGCCAGGAGGTGGCAGCAGCTGCCCGGGCACCCCGCTCTGCTCCTGGCCCCAGGGGCTTCTTCACAGCAGCCAGTGCCGGCTTTTAAACTCCCACCTGTTTTTCCGCTTGCTCGACTACACTATGGAGCCCTCCCTTTCTTTCATTTTTTTTTTTCGATTAATGATGTCACTTTAATCTCCCAGCCCGCCGCTAGCTGGATTCAGCTGTCCCTGCTAAGCCGAGCGGCACAGGCGCTAGCCGCGCTCGCACGCGATGGGCCTGCGCGCGGATCCTCCGGGAGCGGAGCCGCGGGGTGGATGGAGGCGCCTGCCCCTTCCCGCCTTTTCACCAGGCCGGCTCCTGCAGTCCCTCATCACGGCTGTTTGCTCAGCCACACTTCAGATATATATATATATGTATGTTGTTTTTTCTCTTGTGGATATGGTGTGGATGAGGGGCTTTGCTTTCCTGCCCTCCTCCCACCCACCCCAGCCTTGTCCAGGCCCAGGGGTAGGAATGAGCAGTGAGCAGGGCTCAAGCCCCTCCACAGAGCGCAGAGGCCGGGCACTTCATTTAGGGGAGCTGCAGCCTGATAGGAGGTGCCCAGGACCTGCTGGGCCACCATGCTTGAACATCGATGAACCTCTCCCATGTCCCTCAGCGGGAATTGCTGACAGTCTTCGTGTGACATGGAATGAGTTATCCTCATTGGCTGGGTGGCCCTAGGCAAGAGGGGTGGAGGAGATCCAAGGGTAGCTCCTCTAGCACCAGGTCTCAGGCTCCCTACGGTTAAGAGAATCATGAGTGAATTCTTTAAAAGCATGAATCAGTTTTGAATACAGTCTTGATTTAGAAACACCAGTGCTGGAAGCTACTAAAATGTTTTAATGGGTCGTTTCCCCTGCTGTATGTTGTGTATAGATAACTACTTTATCGCTCCCTCATGATACTGCAGCAAAATCCCTGACCTGAGAGCTCGCAGTCCTGGCCTGTCTGCAATGGGCAGCAGTGACACTAGGAGTGAAACGGCTGCTGCTTTGGCATGCGGTTCCTGGAAACACAGAGCTAATTTCTCTTGCAACCAAAATACTTCCTCACACCACAGCCACTCAAAACCTAGCCTGATGAGGATTTGGGCAGCTCCTGCTGCTTTTTCTAACACCCCCTTCCCTTGCCTTCTCACGCCAGGTTTCACAGGACCGCCTCAAGGACCATACTGTGAACCTGGCTCGAGTTAAATAACTCTTTTTCACTCCCGCTGTGGAAAGCAATGCTTGCAAACTGTGCCCTCGGGAGCCTCTCTCACAAGCCTACCTGCTCCATCTGATGTGTGTGCCAGAAGGCACCAGCAGGAGATGGTGGCTGCTAAGTCAACACTGTCCTTTTAGGCACAGCTTCCTCCCTTGTCAGAGCAGTGTGTTTTACACGTGCCAGAAGCAGCGGCCGGGCTCTGCAGGAGAGGCTGTAGCACTGTCCCCCAGCAAGAGGAGCTGCTCCGGGCCTGCTCCCCCATCACTGCGGGAATGTCAGTTCGGGCAAAAAGCAACTTTCCCCCTGTAATGTAGCTGCCATGGTGCATTAACTTCTCTCTTGCACAGTTCATATTTACCAGTGCTTTGAACATTGAGCCTGTGTCGTTCGCTGACACTCGTGGAGAGAGGAAGGCAGCTCCACATGCTGCGTTAATTCAGGAGGGAGGAAAGCAAAATCCTGAGCACTCATCCCTCTGCGAATTACAAGGCAGCAGCTTTCTCTGGGAGAGCAGGTGCTCTGACACATTGGGAGTGGTTACAGACCACTGCTTCCTCGCTCGTTGTCACTCTTAGCTCAGCAACGTTTGCTGGCGACGGAGCATTTTGTTCCACCGGAACACGCTGTGTGCATCCCATGCTGGGCTGGGGCCGTTTCCTTCCCTGGAACTGAAATGAAGTTAGTTCAGCTGGGCTGGGCAGGACTGATTTCCCGTTGGGCCAGGCTCTCCCGTTGGGCACGTTGGCTTCCCAGGAAGTCAGGCAAAGAGACGAGTGATCAGGGACTAGCAAGTGCAGCAACCATGACGTGTCTGTGCCAAGCCATCCCCTCCACCGAGCCCTACAAGTGTGTTTGCTACTTCTGAGGGGGTCTGAGGGCAGAGCAGCTTTCTACATCGCGCTCACGACTCACGAGGTACTTCAGACACAACCAGTTTTCCCTCAGGAAAACCTTCCCACCAAACATGGGCTGCAGCAGGTCGGCCCCGGCCTTCACATGGGACTGCCAAGTGGCCTTGGTTCCGGGCACAAAACACACTGTGTGAACACGAATAAATCCTGGGGCCCCGCGGGGCACTGGGGCCTCGGTTTCCTCATGTGGAGGAGAGCGGCGGCGGCGCCACCGCTCCCGTCCATCCATCGGGGCCGCCGCCAGCGCAGGCCTCTGAGGCCTGACATAACTCGCTGTGCAGCTGCTCTTTGTTTCCTTAAACATTTAGAAATGGCTCTTCAAGGGATTAGTGGTGAATGATAGGAAGAAAAATAATAAAAAAAAATAAATGTGGCTTGCACATTTTAACTTGGTATAACCGGCCCTCCCACACCAATGTTCCCTGATCCACAGGAGCCGAGCTGCAAAGCTTTACGTATCCAGCTATAAAATGAGAGCCTGGAAGGGAGGTGCGAGCGCAGCCCCTGCCCGCCATCGGAGCCAGCACCCTGGTGTCACTTCTCTGGCCACGAGCTCCGTTGGACCTGGCTGTCCCAAGGAGGCCCTGGGACTTGGATCTCAGTGGTCCATGATGGGGCTCAAAGAGAGACAGCGCTTAATTAATTTCCCTGGAAAGAGGATGTCCTGAGCTGGCAGACCGTGCAGGAAGCCAGAGGAAAACCAGAGGGTGCGAGCGGCGTCACCGGCGCCACAGGTGGTGGTTACAGACCACGGTGGCCGGGGCTGCGGCGCCGGTGACAGCCCGCGCAGGCGGCAGGGCCGCGCTCAGGCCCAATGAGCTCAGGGACAGCGGCGAGCTGAGCGTTGCTAGCGCAGAGTCCAGGGCCTGCTGCTCCACCTGCGCTGGGCCGGGCTCAAGGACCGCGGCTGCTCAGCCCTGAGCACCATCAGGCCGCGGCCTGATGCTCTTCTTTGACAAGCTTCTTCCAACCTCTGCCCTCCAACAAGCCTGGCAGACCTGGGAGGGGAATAACTAGCCAAGGGCCAGGAGATGGGCATTGGCTGGGGCTGCTCTCATCTTGGAAGTAATAAATCCATGGAACTTCTCACTCTCATCCTTCTTCCCCATATTGCTGTTCCTTCACCTCCTGCATTATACCTTGCCATAAACTAGATTTCAAGCTTTTCAGAGCACAGATCTTGTCTTTTATGTTTGTACAACCCCCTAGACAATATGGTCTTTGAGCACTTATCGCGACACGATTGCTTTACAGCATCAGTGGCTGTTCAGATTTCGTGGGCGCAGGTGCGATATTGTTTAGAAAGGTTTTCTTCGAACACAGAGGTACCAGTAATGCAGAGAGCACTGGGAACGTGGACTACAGCCAGTTTATTTTCAGTCTGTAGGAGACTTCTTCCTGTGCAACACGGGAACCTTCCAACGTTGCCCGTGTCATGAGTCATGCTGCCTTTATAAAGGCAGGGCGCTCGGTTCCTGAGCACCGGCGTTAGCCCCGTGCCCTTTCCTTGCCGGGAGAGGGGTCTGTGCACACACGTGTGCGCGTGACTCTTCCTCCCTCTGCCTCTGTAATTGGAATTCTGCCCCCTTCCCCCAAGTACAGCGAGGTCTGCAGGAAATTACATTGCTAATTAAGCTGTGCAAGAGAGTACAAAAGCTCTAAACTATAAATACTCCATGTGCATTAAAAAGAAAGCAGCGACACGTAGTGCTGTTATTTAGAAGCCAGCGCAGCCTGGGAAGTGGATTTAGGCCCCTGTGACCCAGCCATGCAGGAGGAGGACGGCGTGAGGGTCCGTGCTTGCCAGCCCCCAGCCAGGCTGAGCTTGCTGAGCAGCTGCAGCACGAGATGGGGAGCAGAGCTCTGGGTGCAGCCCTGGCCAGCCCCAGGGGGTCAGTCCCAGGGTGTCCCTAGGGAGCAGAGCGGGGGCCAGGAGGGAGCCAGCGGCGGCATACGGAGCCGCAGAGCTCAGCAGCAGCCAGGGAGGCGGCAGGAGCTGGGCGAGGGGGCTGGAAGGGAGCTGGGGCTCCTATGTAGGGCAGTGACTCACGAGCAGAGCCTCCCTCTCGCATGACTCACGCGCTCTCCCCTGCAAGAGCCCCAAAACATCGCTGTTTCTAGGTAGAAATCCCCCTGCCCCCCTTGCAGGAGCAGGCCTGGCCCCCTTGCAGGCAGACACCGCACTGTCACGACGTTCACGTGGCCCAGTGCGATGTACCGTGGACTCTTCCCCCTCCACCCTCCATTTCTGCTCGATCCTGCAATGGCGTCACGCACAAATCTGCTTCAACTCCCGTTTCTTGCCTGGAAAATCCTGTGGAATTACACATGTGGGATTTCAGGCCGCTTTTTGTTATTCTGTACTGAGGCAAAGGGCTAAACATGGAGCAGGAACGTTGGGAACAGTGTCTGCTGGCTTGGGCGGCCCTGGAAGGTTTGGGAACGCCACGCGGGTGGCAACAGCCTCCGCGTCAGGAGGCCGCGCTGCAAAAGCGGGATCTGGCAGGCAGCAAAATCCCACCCGCCATCCAGCCGGCCCCGGGGCAAGGAATACACAAGTACTTCATGCATCTGGAACAAGCACTTAGAAGTGCCTAAAAAGCTCCTGGAAGGGAACACTGAAATTCCCAGCCAGTTTTCCACAGCAGCTCTGCTGCGACCCACTGCGAGCTGGCTTGTTCGGATTGCACGGTGGGTGTCGGGAAAGGGGAGGCCATCACATGCTCTCAGCTCGGAACACTCATCGCTCTCCACCTGGCTCCATTTTGGTCTGGAAACCAAAGCCACTTGGTTGTGGTGGGGCTGCTGTCTATGATGAACACTAAGAAATCCTGACCCATTACCAAAAGTTACATGAAACACCCACAGCGCCCTTCGACCTCAAGCGTTGCAAGCGGCGAGTGATAAATTGGCTAAAAGATCCATTATTTCTGATATTCTGATACAATTTCTGATAGTGGGAACCACATTGCAGTGCGCTCTCAAATAATATCCCGAACAATCGGGACATTGGATATCGCTTCTGTTTGGCAAATCACTCCAGTGGATGCATTTTCTTAACCATAAAAAATTGGAAGCATCATGTTAACACTATCCCAAGAGCCAGCGGCATCTGCAGCTGGGGCAGAGGAAAGCCGGGCTCCGCACAGCCCATCCTGCACCGGATCTTCCCAGGGCTGCTGGTTGACACAGCAGGTCTCACCAGCCGAGAGCTCAAAGCTCATCGGAGAGGAGTTGGCAGGTGTATGTGAACCTCAACATCATCTTTTCGGCTACAGAAATTGGGGCTCTTTTTCAAAGCCAGATCTCTGCCTCGTTATGAGCCCACCAGACACACACTATGAGAAACAACGAACACTTATGGCAACAACGAAGACCATCACTTGGTCCCTCCTTAGCTTCCCCATGCCTGCAGCCTACATTAATTAACGTGTGTCAGCTGGGCTGTGCTGTGGTGCATGCACATGTACATATCCTATGAGTATCTATATTGCATAAGAAGCAGATACTGCGGGGCAAAGGTTGGAAGAAAATTTCTTCTGCATGAGAATACCCACATCATTCGGCTAATGGAGAGGTAATTTTGCATGAGTTTGGACATGCACTTGCGTTAGAATTTTTAAATAATTTATGTGCTTTTTGTGAACAATTTTAATTAAATGCTATAATTCATACATGCCTTACCTTACAGCTGAAGGCATTAGGATTTATAAGGACAATTCATATACATTGTAGGCATCACAGAAACTGTACCCAAAAGAATGCAGAACCCTGCTCCCCACATTGGGCAGTAAAGGGGACTTCTGCAAACCTGCATTTATTTTGCCCCATGGAAAGATTTTAGCCTATTCAAATGCCTTTGATCCAGGTGAGAGGGAAAAAGTTCCTACATTCCTGTTGCCCTGCTTTGTAGTAAAATATCAAAGAGTTAGAAAAGCAGAGGCCCTTGTGCCATGCCAGGCACTCATATCCTTAACAAGCAGGTCTGCACGTCGTTCCTTTCTCTTTTTCTTTCCCTTGCTCCAAGGTGAGAGGTAGTTAGGAAAGCCAGGCTAATGCTCCCCATGTGGACGAACGCTGCAGGTGGCATTTGGCAGCTGCCTCAGCCTTCTCCCCCGAGAGCTGGGCTTGCTCAGGAGAGATGAATCATTCCCACCTGTGAAACTGCTGGGCTCGGTAACCGAGAACTGTATTTTTTCTCATGAGCTTTATGCCACCTGTGGGGGAAGGTAATAACGAAAAGGAAAGAAGAAGCAGTAAAGAGTGTACCTATGGGCTTTATATCTAGACTCCTATAAAAATCCCTCTCAGGCCTCCAAAGGATGAGCTCCTTATGCTGAATATTAAGTACAGTTCTCTCACAGAGCCCCTGCTATGAAGGGGGGGCTAGATCAACAGAGCTTAGCTCAAATACTGAGGTGGCTTCCTAACAAAGCAACGTTTATAAAATGTTAATATGGGGAGAAAACAAAAGCTTTCAGCAATAACTCCTTTTGAGAACAACATGGTATGGCTAGCCCAATAAGGGGTGGGTTGATTTATCTCACCTGTGCAAGCCCAGAATCTCCATATTTGGTGCTCTAGAGCAGCCCTCTCCCAGGCTTTTTGAGCCAGCTGGAGGGACTGTAGTTGTACCTGCTGTGCAAGGCCTTGATGGGAGCTACGGGGCACAGGTGAGAGCAGTGCCGTGCTGTTTTGGTGTCCTGGTGCGGGTCTGCCTCATCCCTGCACTGCTTTTTACAGGAATGGCACAAAAGGCTCTGTTCTCTTTGCAAAAACCAAGGATTTTCTTGTGGGTAATAGGGTCTAATCAGTTTTTGCCATTAGCCTTCAATTAACTAATGACTAACTTGAGATTGTCCCACAGAATGACATCCTTATGTGTGAATGGATGTGCAAAAGCTACGTAGAGTGTCTGAGTTTTTCCACTGTCATTGTCCAGTTCCAGAGAGTGTCAGTTCTCTGGCCAGGGGGACGTTATTAAAATGTCTTGGCCTGCATGAAAATCTTGCTGATGAACTGAAATGGGCAGAAAGCAGGCAGAAGGGTATCGCTCCTTGTGCTGCTGGCCAGTTTCTGTGTCAGATGTACTGCTTTTATTGCTCTCAGGAGGTTCAAAGATATTAAGGAAAGATTAGGTGATGGATGGATATCACTGGATGCCATTCAGAGGGCATCTGGCATTTGTTTACCTGTGTGCCGAGAGCTTGCCTAGATGAACTGCTGATGGAAGCAGGAGGCATTTCTCTGCTCATCAGAGCTCTTCTATTTGTTTAATCAGCAACTCTTGGTTCCCCATACTCTGTTATATGCAGAGACTGCCTCCGTGCTGGTATTATATGAGGATTATGTTACAGGTCAGCTTGATCTTCTCATTCAACACACAGCTCTTCTCCCCGTTTTGTTTGTGTTGGGCCAGACCATTGCATTGCATTTGTTGATGCCTGATGAAGGGCCCTGCAAATGCCGGGCTCTTCACAAAGCAGATATTGATAGATTAATTGCTCACTGATCAAATCGGCGGTGAAACCCACTCTCAGGTGAGGCTGTGAGATGAGATAGGAAAAAGCTATGTTCATGCTGTTGCTTGAGAACATAATGTGCACCACTCCCTGAAATCTCTGGGGAAAGCACCTGTCCCTGCAGCCTCCTTTTTGTGAGGCTAAAATGTTGGATAAGAGCTTCATAGGAGGCAGGAGAAGACTTGCTGTGTGACCCCCAGTGTCTGCACATTGCATTCACTACGAGTCATAGCAGGTGGTGATGGTGAAGAGGGGTGCTAAGGCAGGATGAAGAAAGAGATCTGTGGCAATCAGTGAGGGCTTTGTGTGTGTGTTTTAAATGTGTTCAAAAGAAGGCAGTACCTGTGGTTTTCCCACTGTAGAAGGGACAGAAGGAAATGACTTTCAAGAAAGATTTATATGAAGAGCCTGTAAAGGTTGGGAGAGGGCACTTGAGACAGCAAAGATAAAGCCAGGTGACCACAGCAATGTGGTTTTCTGCACACACAGAATTGTTTGTGCTTTGTTATCTAGCCTCACATAGGTGCCTGAGCATTTGTGCTGATAATTTCATTAAGTCTTTTTGCTCATAATTGTGGGTCATTACGTCTCTTAGAGGAAGGCTGGGGAAACGGCAAGGCTAACAGCCAGCTCCTCTGGGTTTTCTGTATGCATGAGGCTCTGCTTCCATAAAGGAGAAGTGGAAATCCTGTTCACTAGGGAAGAATGTGTGAGGCTCAGCCTGGATGAAGTTTGTGTGCTCTCTTTAATAAGCACTGCTTTTCTGTCTATAGACATTCGAACTGTCTGAATTAGAAGGCAGCCTGAAGGGACAGGTATTATGAAAAGAGCTGCCAAGGCCTTTGTGTGTCAGTGGGAGGCTCCTGATTATCACAAGAGGATCTAAACGTGAAGGTGACATTCAAAAGACCATTAAGATAAAAGCCAGGATGAATTTCTTTCCAACCTCACTTAATAGAAACTTTTGTTTAAAAGCACCTTTCCTGGGAGAAGGAAGAAAAGGATAACCTAGGTAACTTGGAATGCTTTAATTAAGTGCAGTCAGCTGCTTGAGAAAGTAATAACTTAGTCAGGAGATGTAATCAGATTAATGGCAGAAGTAATAAGAATGTCAATATATGTCACAAATATGTATTTCTAATCCTTCAGTCATGCATGTCTAGTGGAGAACGTGATACCAGCTACTTCCAGATATCCTTCCAGATAACAGCTTAGAGAAAAGATACAGACAAAATCACCTCCATCTGGAAAGCCAGCTCTCTCTGCACAGCTCATGGAAGTTTGGCAAATCAAAATAGGTTTTGTTGCTTTTTTTTTTTTTTTTTTTTTTCTTGCTACTTTCTGACTTACTGTTTATTTGTCCTGTGATCTCTCTGCAAAGTTCTTTTCGGTATACTCTCCAATGCTTTTTGCAGTGTAGTTTTAAATGAAATATGTGATTGGGCTAAGTCCTTTCTGTTTGGAAACAGTCCACAATTTAACATTTCTCAAGCTTGACCAAACTGTAATCAGGAAAAACGTTACATTTTTCATCACTCTTTTTTTCCTATTATAATCCCGTGACCTTTTTCCAGAAAGGAACAGAAGTGTTTGTGTGTATCTCTGTGTACATGTACAACTGATGGGCTCTTAACTCTGAGCATTTACCAGCTTGTAACATTAGCCTGGGACACAGAAGTATGCGTAGAGGAGGAGGGGGAGGTGGAAAAAAGCCTCCAAACAACAAAAAGTTCTTGTTAATGATGATAGATTCCCATAGGGCCAATCCTTTCCAATACAGCCAGTGCTGTGGTCGTCTTAGCTGGGCCTGGGGAGCTGCTGCTGATCAAACTTAGCCCAAAGCTTTGGCACAAACACGGCTGAGATCTCCAGACCCAAACTAGCATCTCAATAAAGCTTTTTTTCTGCTTCAATATCAGGTGTTGGCAGTGGCTGCAATCTGGCCAGCTCTCTCTTTTCTCCTCTGTCAGGTGCTTCCCACGTGCATCTCAACAGAAGCAGGAATGGGCAGTAAAAGGATTGCTTAATTTACTGTTGCTTTATTAAAGGCAAATCTATAGGTATCCACTTAGCTCTATGGCAGTGTGTTGCACTGCACAGTTGAGCTTTATAGTTCACGGCTCCTGCTGAAGGAAATGCATTAAACGAGTAGGTTGCTTTTACTGTGTAGGATCCATGGCAGTTCAAAGCCTGCCTGCTGCCTTCATGAGTTAGAGCCAACTTTTCCTACAGCAATTTCCCTTTTTTCCCTTGAGGGCTGTCCATCCTATGCAGAGCAGAGGTCACAGAGCTCTGCATCCAGCCTGCAGACCTGTACGGGGCAGGATCCATAGTGGAGGCTCCTCCACCCTGGCTTAAAAAGTATCTGCGGGGTGTTGTGGTGAGAGCTGCCTCCCAGGGAGCTGCCCTGATGGGGCTGCCCCTGGGCTAACTCCCACTTTGAGTTATGGCTCTTGATTGCTGTGCAAGGGAGCTTTCCCCTCTGGGAGCTTAAATGTGATCCTTTAGGCACCCAAAAGGCCATCAACAAACGTGCAATGGTAATAACCTGAGATGCATTAGAACCTCTTGCCTAGCTGTGAGAGGCTTTCCAGCCTGGCAGGTTTTTGTGAGTTGTTTGGCTCTCCTAGAGGTGGTTCTTGCTTGCACTCCAGCCCATCATTTGATCTTAAAAGCACCCATGGGTTCCCACCATAGCAGTTTGTCATTTTGCTAATGACTCTTCACTGTTTTCCTACCTCTGTGGATGCCTCTAACAGTATTTACTTATGGCTGGGAGAGTACAGGCTTTGGAATAATTTAAATGTGCAGTGTAAGAAGTACACACAAACAAGCTCCAACTTCTGTGTTAAGTGGGGCTGCCCACTGGGTAAAGTGGGAGGTGGAGGAGGCGGTTTCAAGTCATGTAGGAAGGCAGTGGGGGGATGAGACAGCTTGGCCATCGTCACGAGAGACTCTTAGCCCCATCTCCTGCCCCAAATGTCTCATGTGGCTGGGGACTGGGGAGTAGCAATGATGGGTCCCTTCTAGCTGGCGCTTTAGGGGAATATTGTTCCAAGTCCCACGGTGTAAAGTCTAGCTAGGATTGCTACAGCAGTTGTTTGTTATGTGGTAAACTACTTATATCACTGCATATATCTCCTTGTGTGTTCTTTTCCATCTAGTGCTATATCTGTCTCTCGCACAGTATCTATTTCAGAAGTTCGTTTTGTTTTGGATTCTCTCTTGATTTAGCACGGAGATGAAAGACAGTCTCTGCTCTCGTCATTTTTCCTGCTCTTCATAAGTCTGTCTTAACAAAATGCCTTCAAATTGCCAGAGTTAGTAACAGGTACAGGCATAGCTCTGCGTTACCTGCTATTGGGCAAATTCTCCCAGGTTCCTGTTTAGAAATAGTCATGTTAGCAACTCCAAGAAGTTGAAGATGAAAATAACTGGGGCCTGTCTTCTTGCCAAAGCAGGCCTGCTGTCTTGCATACACTCACTATCGCTTTGCCCAACTTAATTTTAAGCATACTAAGTATTGGTGCTTCTGCCACTTTACTCTTGAGAGATAATGATGCCTATCTCACTGCCAAGAAGTCTTTCCTGATATTCTGCATTTTCCTGTCATATCCTTATCTTTGGATGCTAATTCTATCCTAGTCCATCCTGCTGGCTGGCTCCTTGCTCTTCAGTGGTTTTAGAACCTCTTAGACTTTCTCTGTCACCACTTGACTGTGCTGTAAGTGTTAACTCTTTGAGGCTTCCTCCTTTTTTGCTTGCAGTTCTGCCTCGCTGTCTTTAGGAGTCAACATTGCCAATCTTAAAGTAAGTCTCATGGATGAAGCACTACAAATTACTCTTGTGTTCACTTTACCAACTGGAAGAGGGGAAAAAATGCCAAAATCAGAGAAATCTGCCAAAATCACAGAGAAAAATAATTTTAGTGTGATTTGATTAGTTTTTCAGGAAGAATATTTTTGAATTACATGTGTCAAGAAGGTGAATAACTGAACTCATAGTTCACAGGGATATATGATCCAAAGGCTTTCTTTTGCATTTTTATTATGCAGGAAACCACAATAAGTCAGTGTAAGTGCTGCAAGGAAGTGCATTTGGCCTGTGCTGGAGGAGGAGCTGGCGCAGTTGTGTGAGATCTGCTGCTTGGG